TAATTGCATTTTTATTTATTTTTAAAAGAAAGATTTATTTATGCATAAAGAATGGGGGTGCAGGCCAGAGGTGCAGATTCACTAGAGACAGAGTGGAGAGCAGAAAAGGGGATCCACTGATATACACTGCGAAGGGGAACAGCAGACGAGTCTGCTGCACCATTTGGGCCGGCTCCCTAGCTGGGGATTGAAGTCTGACCAGCCCCCTAGCTGGGGATTGAACTCAGGTCATAGAGATGACAGCCTGAGACTCAACCCCTAGATCACCAGGGAGGCCCCGCATTGCTGTATTGTAAATGCAGGCTTTATTGTAGTCCTTTAGGCAAGGGGAGGTCTGCAGATCAGGAGGTGCTTCCTTGAAAAGAGATTATTACACAAAGAGAAAGGAAGCCACTGTATCAAATGGGCCTCATGGGGAAGCTCCAGGCCATTCAGTGTGGAGGGGGAGGGGGGAGATGCAGGCAAGGGCCTTCTCGTGGTCTCCATGGAGAGGAGAGCAAATTTACGGCTGCTAGGATTTTTTTTTTTTAAACATACTCCTTTTTTTTTTTTTTTAATTTATTTATACAAGCACTGGGTCCAGTCAGAAGAGCGGGAGGGTGAGAGAATTCACCAGAGCCAGAGCGGGGAGCAGAGCAGGCAGAAGGACCGAAGGACACTGCTGAGGGGAGCAGCGGGCGGCAGGAGAGGTCTGCGCGCCATGTGGGACCCTCCTCCGGTGGCCGGGGAGCAGCCGGGGATCGAACCGGTGCTGCAGAGGCTGCGGGCCTCAACCGCTGAGCCACCGGGGTGGCCCCTCTGCTAGGATTTTAATAGGCTCCGAAGCCAAGGGACTGTCCCAGGTCTGTGGATGGTTAGTGCAGGTAAACAGTGTAAGTCCAGTAAAGGTGGTGGTTGGGGGATAAGCTCTAGATTAGTTGGTTTTCATATAAAAAAGTCTGCACTCTCTCTGGGCACCTGCTAGCCCTGGAGGGCAGGCTCCTCAGGGCCTGCCACACCCTGTAGCCAAGTACCAGGAATGCAGTGACTAATAGAGTGACTTGATTTTTTTTTTTTTTAATTATTTGATGCTGTCTCTGGGGATCAGGAACCTGCCCAGCACACAAGCCTCCCCTGCCCGCTGCCCACGCCACAGTCAGGGTGGCAGAGTCAGCAACACGCCCCCAAAATGGAGACAGATGAACTGGAATAAACTCTCCCTCAGGTATTATTTTGAGATGCTTCGCAACACACCAGCACGTTTTCTGATTTTGTTCCAACATTTCTTTAGAGGAGCAGTTTCCTGGAATCTTTTTCCTGAGCTTGCCTTCAAGGTCAGTGTCAATCACTGGGTTTCGCTAAGTCAGCAGGCTGGTTCAACTTTGCCTTTGTCCCGTTTGTTAATCCAGCTTGGGTTTACTCAGCCCCCCCTGGAATCCATTTCTTTATTTCATCATGAAAAATAAAACAACTTGCAAGGGGTATCCAGCGGGGACCGCTGAGTCATAGCTCTTTAAATTATTAAGGAACACCATGAAATCCCAGTGCTCATTTACACTCAGTTTCTGTAAGAATGTAACTTTTCAGTTTTTTTGAAAAACCTGGTTTAAATATTAACTTGGGTAGTGAATTTTCCAGGGGAGTTTGGAACTAAAAAGGGTAAAACTGAAAAATTGCCAATTTGGTGTTGCAAGGAGCTTGTGCAAGGGCATCGGCAGTGAGTGATAACGGGCGGCTTGTGGCAGCCTGGCTCGGCCAAAGGGCATCTTCCAGAATTCCCTCTGCTTGTCTGTTTCCTGGCTGATTGTGACCCTGCAGAGTCACATCCCCGAGGGCAGGACCCTCCTCTCCAGGTGAACCTAGAACAGGATGTGGTGCCAGGTCAACTGACATGGTCCACACGACCTGCAGAGGCCCCCAAGTTCAATGGGGGCTGAGCCTTGGCCCATTCCAAGAGCCATCTGGGGAGCTTTTTTTAAATACTCCCCGGTGCCACCCCTGAAGATTCGGCTCAGTGGGGTCTGAGCCCAGGACATTTGATTGTCACAGGTGGTTTCAGTGACCAGCCAGATGGGTGTGCTGGTCACTGCGAGGCTGCCCCGTGGTCCAGGCTCAAAACATGCTCCTCGAGCCAGGAGCATCTGCGTCGTCACTGGGAGTCCTACTGGACAGGCAGATTTTTAGGGTCCACCTGGACCTCCTGAATCAGAGGCTCTGGGGTTGGGTACTCTGTGGTTTAACTAGTCCCCAGGACAAGGTGCCCACTAAACTGTGCATGGTTGAACTGTGCAGGGACCAGGCTGAAGGTTGCTAGCAAGCCCTGATTGCTGGAGAGGCCCAAGCAGAGTGGAGATGCTGACATGTGCTGTACGCCTTGTGCTGCAAACACATGCTAATGTACTATCTCACCTGCAAGCAAGAGAAAACGCTGGGCCAGCAGAGCAAGCTGCAGTTTTTCTTTCTTTCTTTCTTTTTTAAGATTTATTTACGCATATAAGAACTGGGGTGTAGGCCAGAGGTATGGGGGGGGTAAGAGGATACACCAGAGACAGAGTGGGGAACAGAACAGGCAGATCTACTGAAATACACTGCTGAGGGGAGCAGCTGGCGAGACAGGAGAGGTCTGCTGTGCCATGTGGGTAGCTCCCTGGCTGGCCAGGGATCAAACTCATGCTGCAGTGGCTGAGGATAGCTTCATAGTGCTGCGTCTTAACCCCTCATGCCACCAGGGAGGCCTCAGCGAGAGGCCTCAGCAAGCTGTCGCTTTTAAAACATGTTTTCAGGGCCTCCCTGGTGGCGCAGAGGCTGAGCGCTGGGAGTTGTGAAGCTGCCCGCAGCCTCAGCAGCGCAGGTTCAATCCCTGGCTGGAGGAGGGTCCCACATGGCGCGCAGACCTCTCCTGCCACCCGCTGCTCCCCTCAGCAGTGTACGTCGGTCCTTCTGCCTGCTCTGCTCCCCGCTCTGGCTCTGGTGAATTCTCTCACCCTCCTGCCCTTCTGACTGTACCCAGTGCTTGTATAAATAAATAAATAAATAAATAAATCTTAAAAAACAAAACAAAACAAAACATATTTTTAGTCAAATGTTGAGGAAACAAAGAGAAAGACTTTTCCCTAAATATCATGGTGAACCTACCAGGGCTTGACTTCTTTCTTCCTCAACTGTATGACTGAGCCCGGGGTGCCTCTTAGGCTTTAACCTGCAGCTGCAGCTGCCACCAGGTGGATATACTGCACATGCCCTTGAGCCCCAACCTCTAGCCTCCTCCCAGCTGTCCCTTTATAGTGTGACAGTTAACTCATGGGTGACCTGTACACAGCCAGGCACAGCTATTCAATCTCTGCCGTCCCTCCTGGCAAGATACTATATGGTTCTCTTTAAGAAGACCTCCTGGGGGAAGGGTGGAGCAAACATTGTTTAAATGAGGGCCTCCCTGGTGGCGCAGGTGGTTGAGCGCCGCACTGTGAAGCTGTCCATAGCCTCTGCAGCGCGGGTTCGATCCCGGCCAGCTGGCAAGAATCCCACAGGGCGCAGCAGACCTCTCCTGTCTCACCCGCTGCTCCCCTCAGCAGTGTATTTCAGTCAGTCTGCCTGTTCTGTTCCCCGCTCTGTCTTCGGTGAATCTTCTCACCCTCCCGCGCATCTGGCCTGTACCCCGGTTCTTGTATACAAATAAATAAATCTTTAAAAAAAATGAACAATATTGTAAATATATATAAATAAAATAATAATAACTCACTGTTTTAGCAGCCGATCAACTTGGAGTGCCTTTTATTCTGGCTTGTTTTGTTTTATTTATTTTTCTAATTTATTTTCCTATTTTTCTAATAGAGATGTGAAAGGATAGCAGGTTCAAAGTTCCCGATGAAGAGATACAATTGATGTTTTCTGCACATTTGTATTTCAAACAAGGGAGCTAAAACTTGAAATAAATTCCTCCTTTGTCATTTTTGGCTTAATGAATAGCATTTATTCAGTATGAAATCTTTACACTACAAGTTCCACGAGCTAGGAATGTGTTAAATGTGGTTTAAAATCAAAAACCCAGCAGAGAACCCCAGGGATTTTGAGCCAACCTAAAATGGGAGACTCAAATCTGGAAACGGAGCCTGAGGGAAATGCAATGGTTTAAAGCAAGATGGCTCCACTCCTTGAGCTCTGCTATTTTAGGGGAGAATCCTCCCAGCCACTGTCTTGAGAACCCCCAGTTACCACATTTGTGAAAAAGAGGCTTTCTTTCACCAGCGAGGTGATACATGACCCAGTGACCCAGTTTGTAGCATGAGATGCCAAAGGAATGGTTTCTTAGGAATGCGGACAAGGGAATTGTAGACAAGTCAGCCTTTGGGGAAGAATTCCAAAAGCTGGATCAGATTTGCACAAAGGGAGAGAGAGGGCAACCCTTTCCTCCAACTGGGACACCAAGGGAAGGAATGGACGCCCTGGGAAGTTTCCAGCCTGGCGCCAGGGAGGTGCAGGTTCAGATAACAAACATCTTTCTTCTTGGCAATGCCCAGCCTCTGCATCACGAGTTCGATCCCCAGCCAGGGAGCTGACCCACATGGCGCAGCAGACCTCTCCTGTCTCGCCCGCTGCTCCCCTCAGCAGTGGATTTCCGTCAGTCTGCCTGTTCTGCTCCCCTCTCTGTCTCTGGTGAGTCCTCTCACCCTCCCATGCCTCTGGCCTGCACCCCAGCTCTTACATGCATAAATAAATAAATCTTAAAAAACAAAACAAAACATTTCACCCTTGGTGGCTGCTGGGAGCTCAGAGGGAAGCAGTTACCAGGGCAGACTTGATGTCACACAAAAAGCTGAAAATCGCTCTTGAACAATCACATTAAGTCACAAACCTCACAACGGGTCTTTTGATGTGTTTGATTTGCCTCTGATTGAATGACAGCTCCTAAAGGACAAGGTCAGCTGCAGCCAGAAGGCGCACCCTGTCCGCTTAGAAGCAGCCAAGCCAACACCTTGCTGCCACCCAGCCCTCAGTTCTGGTTAAATCCTGGTGGCGCCCGGGCCCTCATTCCTGCTGTCACCCGTTTTGTGCCCTTGCAGTCACAGTTCCCCGGGTTTTCTTGCTCGACCTTGTACCGTAGCCAGTTGACTGGTCAGCACGACCTCAGTCAGGTGAGGAGACACTCCAGGGAGTGGGGGAGGGCGGCCCAAGCTCGGGTAGGCGCCTTTATTTGGGGAAAATAGCCCATTTCTGATTTACAGCAGCAAAGTCACAGCCTCAGGAGCCGGGCCTGTCAGTCCTGCCGACCTCCCTGCTCCCTGCTCCCTGGTCCTCCTCCCCCGGCCTCCAGGCCACCTGCCCTCCGCCCGCCTCCTGCCCGCCCCCCCTACACCCACCCCGTGTCCCTCCTCGCTGCCCGCCCCCCTCCGGGCTCGGCCTCGCGGGGGGCTGGGATCCGGCCCGCGGGGATCCCCCGCCCGGCCCCAGGCGCCGCCCACCCGCTGCCCCGCGACTCCGGGGCGCCCGGGCCGCGCGCAGGGAAGGCGGCTCGACCTCCCCGGCGGGACGAGGTACGTGGCTCCCCTGCGCCCCCGCCCGCGCGCTCGGCCACCCCCGCCCCGCGGCGCCGGGACACCGAGGCCGGCCAGGTGCACGGGCGGCGCCGGCCAGCCCTGCCCGGAGCCCGGCGGGACCCCCGCGCGGCGTCTCCGGGGATCCGGGGATCCAGCGCCCCAGCCGCGCGCCCACCCCGCCCGCTGGGGCGCATCCCCCGCCTTCTCTGGTCGTGCCTTTGACAGCAGAGCCGAGGCGCGTTTCCTGCGGTGGAGACCCTTGGGCTGTCTGGCTTTCATTAATGCTGCAAAACTGGGACCGTTTGCACCGCGAATGTCGCGTTATATTTAGCAGGGCGGGAGCGAGAGGGGAGGTGCAGGTTCTGGAGTCGGAGGCCCCGCAGGCCAGACGCTTGGCCCCCAGGCAGACCCAGCCTGCGCGCCCTCAGCCTGGCCAGCGGGGTGGAGGCAGGACCCGCTCTCCAAGGCTAACCTAGCCGGGTGCGGCCGGCCTGCAGGCTTCCTTGGGCGGGGAGCTTGCCACCTGTTGTTTTCAAACCCATTTAAAATAAGGTGGACAGAGTGAGCCCTGCGGGTATCTGGGGAAATGCTATCCAGACCTCCAGCAGCCCAGAAGGGGCCAGAGAGGCCACGTGGTTGGCCGGCTTTCAGGAGGCTGGGCTCACCACCCTGCGGCCTAATTAACTCCATCTCCACTGGTGCCAGGGCCGCGCAAGCCTGGCTGCGGAGGCATAAGTATTGGGGGGAGTCGAGGCACATGGAGTCAGCGAGGATAAGTAGGCCCTGCCTTGGCCCTTCGAGATGGAAAACCAACTGCCTTGCAGTGTCCCAGCTGTCTGCCCAGCAGCGGGAAACCCCCAGCCGTCCCCTTTTGTCACCCCTTCCAGCACAGGTTGAAGCTGCCTTTACCCAAGCTGCTGTGCACTTGGTCTGGCTTCAGTGCGAAATCTCCAAACCCCCAGCAGCTTCTTCCTCACAGCCTTCCTTGCCCGTTTCACCCCCTCTGCATCCAGACTCTTCGCTGGTCAAAATCTGTTTCCTCTGCTTGGGCTGGAGAACTTCATGGCCTAGGAGAGTCTGCCCTGCGAGTTATTGAAGGCGTTGGGGGTAGGAGAGCGGGACGTGCACACTCTGTCTTGCGTCTTCCTGGCTTCCAGTTGTGAAAAGGGGTGTGTTTGATTATTCTAAGCGATCCCTTTCAGTGCAAGGTCAGTCGTGACTCATACTGATATGCAAGTGGACACGTGGTAAAGATTTTATTTTGCCGATGAGAAGGGAGCCGGGCACGGGAGCACGGCTGTTGAAATGTACACCCGTGATTCCCCAAGAGCCCCGACTCCTGATTTTGTGGGGGGATTTGTTAAAAAACCGAAAGGTGGACTTTATTCAGGACCAAGGACTAGGTGGAGGCCCCACCTCCAGGGGGACTTGCCGTGGCGGGAGGGGTAGACTCTGAACCCAACATAGAAAGTGAGAACTTATAACCAAGGAGCAGGTGGTGGGGGTTAGGGCATGGAAAATTACTAAGAGGCAGCGCATGGGCGGGAAGGGAGTCCTGGCAGAACTGACTGGCCGGCCAGGATCCCTGCAGCAGATAAGCCAGGCTCGTCAGCCATCACGAGGTTGTCTGGGTGGGGGTGAGGGACTCGAGGAGATATGGGGGTGGGTGTTCTGCTGAACTTTGCAGGATTCTTCGTAAAACTGGACAATGCAGAGGTGAACTTGGCAGCCCAAGAGCCAGGGCCTCCCTGTGGAGTGAGTTCAAAAGAGCTTGGCTGGAGTCTGGGCCCAAAGGTGCTGGTGCAGGAACAGTGAGGGTGGCCTGGAAGGAGGGGCTCTGTGCGCCTTCAGGATGTGTGGCACGTGGCCTGGATATTGGGGGGAAGCCCCCAGCTGGGCGCAGCTTGCCACCGTGGTGTCGCTCAGTGTGCCTTTTGGGGTGTCCACCACAGAGCAGCTTTTGACCAAGAAGAGGACCTTGACTTTCAGAGCCTTCATCAGAGGAGACCAGGGTCAGAGCTCAGGGTGGCCGGGCTGGGTTCTCAAACCCACCTATCACATGAGGACCCCACTATACACCTCAGACCCATGACTCCCTGTCTAGGGGGACCCCAAACCTTATTCTCCACAGCTGCAATCCTGAAAGGCTTCACAAAATGTTCTCATGATTCAGTCAGTAGAGGGTCAAGGGTGTGTCCCCAGCCTCGCCAGGGCCCACAGGGGCATGGTTATAACCACGGAGCTGCCTGCCCTGCTCAGCTGCGGCCTTGGCCGGGACACAGGCGCCATGGGAGGGGCTTCATGGACCTCGCCCAGCCACTGCCCCTGCCTGCAGACAATCACCTGCTGGAACCAGTGCAGAGCGTGGCTTTCCCGACTGTAAACCTTGGTCGTTTTCCTTCCGACCAGTTAGGACGTCTGTCTCTTTTCTCCAGTGGGTAGGAGAGATTCAGAGCGTGGGTAGCGGGCCTCCCTGGTGGCGGAGGGGTTCAGGTCAGCGCTATCAAGCTATTGGTGGCCACTGCAGCGCGACTCTTTACAAATTCAATGTGGAAATCTCTCTACTAGTGACTCTAACCTACATTTATTTGCCTGTATTTCAGCCACATGATTTCTTGCTTTATAGTTCATAGGTTTTTGATTTTCCTTTTGTTGTGCTTTCTTTCCTGCCTTCTGTTTGGTGCAGCATTTTTAGATGTTTTCGTCATTTCTACCTCCACTCAACGTAAATTTCTCCTGATCCTTGTCTGTTTGGCTCCCTTGCTGTGTGTAGAGTTTGTGGCTTGGGCGGTGAAACTCTCACCCCCAAGTGGATTTGCATTCGGTCCTGCCGGATGCCTCGGGGCTCTCGCCGCCCAGGGGCAACTGTTAGGCTGTCTTTCCAGGCTTTGCAGTCCCCCTTGGGAAGGCCCGTGTACTTTTGGGGGACTGGCTGCTTTTTTCCTATCCTGGGTTTTCTGTTTACATTCCTAGTCCTGCTTGGTAGAGTTTCCTCTTTTTCTTTGTTGCCGTTTCTTTTTTGCTTTTGTTTTTTCCCACTACAGAGAACAATCTGGGCCTCTGACTTGTAAAGGAGGGGGTCTCAGTTAAAAGCCTCATCTTTTTTATTAAAAGCTTTATTTATTTATGCATACAAGAACTGGGGTGCAGGACTGGGGTGCAGGGGATGAGAGGATTCACCAGAGACAGGGGGGAGCAGAAGAGGAAGACTGACTGAAATCCACTGCTGAGGGCAGCATCGGGGAGACAGGCAAGGTCTGCTGTGCCATGTGGGTAGCTCCCTGGCCGGGATTGAACTCTTGCTGCAGAGGCTGCGGACAGCTTCATAGTGCTGTGCTTAACCCCTTGTGCCACCAGGGAGGCCCCGAAATCCTCATCTCTTGGTGGCTAAGGCCTCACTGGGCTTGGGCCCTGGGCGCTGGTTGTGTTTGGGCTGTTCTGGGTGGGTCTGGCCCTTTGGCCCAGGTTGCTGGGCCCCCTTAGCACCTGCTCCTGCCTCCCTCACCCTGCTTCACTCTCCTGTCCAGACCTGGCTGGGGGTTGCTGCCATTTTCCCGTGAGTTCCACTATTTCTCTTTGTATTTGCTGGTTACCTTCGCTCTGGCGCTGGATTGCTGCTAACCTCATCTATGGTGCTGCCGGATTTTGCTTGGTGTGATTTCTTGCACACACTCGGGCTAGAATTAAAATTAATTTTTCTCAAATCTTGATTTCATTGTAATTATTCCTTAGAGTCTTGGGCTTTGCCCCTTAGGGAATTATTCCTTGGAATTCTCCCCTTAGAGACTCTAACGTGCCGTTCTCTCTCTGCAGCCCAGCTTGAACAGTCTGCCATGGCCAACGAGGCTCGCCCTTGCCCGTGCGACATCGGCCACAGGTTGGAGTATGGGGGCATGGGGCGCGAGGTCCAGGTGGAGCACATCAAGGCTTACGTCACCCCAGCTCCCGTGGACACGGGCAAGGCCGTGGTCGTCATCCAGGACATATTCGGCTGGCAGCTGCCCAACACCAGATACATGGCGGACATGATCGCAGGCAATGGATACACGTGCGTGGCGGGCTCTGAGCTCTGTTCCTGCTCACAGTGAATCTCTGTGCTCGGCTTTGTTCCCTGAGCGCGTTCTCCTCTGCGTTGTCCACTGGCTGACCTGACCAGCTGCGGGAAAGTGGGAATGTCTTAGGGCGCGTCGGCACCCGCGCTCCGAAGGGAACGGGCCTCTCTGTGCACAAGGCAAAGCAGACGCTCAGGGTGAAAGACCTTTAATAGCATTAGTGTGCACGGAGAGAGGAGAGCAAGAAAATATATTCGGAAAAAAACCAAAGCCCCCCCCCCCCCCACACACACAGACAGGGTTGGCCCGAAGCGGTGCGGGTGAGACCTGAACACCTGCCACAGGCTAGGGCGCCTCCTGGCGGGGCTCCCTCGGAGGGGGCCTAATGCGGGGCCCCGAAGCAGGTCCAGGAAAGCTGGGTTAGTAGGCGAAAAAGCCAAAATTCATTAACACGCCTGCGGAGAGCTCACGTGGTTGTAAATTCTGAGCAGGGCTACCTGCGTGTGTTTCAGGACCTGGGGGAGAGAACAGGAGACTTCACGTGGCAGCCGAGGGCCGACCTCACTGTGAGGTGGAAACCAGATTCTCAGGGAGGCCGTGTTCACTGACAACCCGCACCCGCACGAGCCCCCGAACTGCATTCTTCTGGGCATAAAAAGGGGAGCAGTGAGCACGGCTTCCACTGGGAAAAGGGTCAACAGCCGAGCAAGGACAAAACCTCTCACCTCTAGAACCTTCACGGCTCTTACGACACGCTGCGTCCTTTAAGATGATGGCAGCAGAGTCCCGGGCTCACCGGGTCTGGACTGACCCCCCGTCCCTGCGTCCAGGTGACCCCTGGGCTGATTGAGAAATGCCCTCCGATCTGGGGAGACCGCCCACGAGCACCTGCCTTAGATGGCACCTCTGCTCTGCAGGTCAGGCCCTGCAGCGCCCGGGTAGCAGAGCGAGTGCTTGACTGCTGCCTGGCGGCTGGCCAGGTGTGCCCTGCTGGCCTGAGGCTCACGTGACAGGTCGGCTGACAGGTGTGGCGCCCCAGGGCCGGAGGGGCCCTCCCCCCACACCCCATCCTGTGCCCTCCTGGCCCCGCTGCCTGCCTGCACCTGCAGTTGTGCAACACCTGACCCTGGGCCAGGTGGCCTCCCGGCTGGGAGCGGAGCTGTTCCGCGGGCCTGTGAGCCTGCGAGGGAGTGTCCTGTGTAGGTAAGCCTCGCCGAAGCTAAGTCCCGCACCTCCCTGTTTTCCAGAACTATCGTTCCGGACTTCTTTGTAGGGCAGGCGCCCTGGGATCCCTCTGGAGACTGGTCCACCTTCCCTGAGTGGCTGAAGACAAGAAATGCCCGAAAGATAGATAAGTAAGTGCCCAACATTGTGCTGCATTTGTGGGGTCCCCAGAACTCTGGGGGCACAGGTGGGTCCAGCCTTACTGTGGGGATCCCTTCTCCCTCTGAGGGGAGCAGACGAGCACCAGACAGCTTGATAAGAGAAGACCCAGAGAACCCCAATGTTAGCATGTTACCCTACACACATTCCCCCCCCCCCCCCCCCGTCTACGTGGGAGAGGCCCAGAAACAAACAGTCACCTGCGCACGAGACTCCAAGCTCATCTTCGGTAGCTCTGCTAAGGTGGGAAGAGAGGAGGGGAACAGCTCTAGGAATGTTCCAGGAAGGCGCCATGCGCGGTGTGTGCAGACTAAGCTCCGCCTTCTCCCTAGAAATAGATGGGGATCAGGTCTTCCCAGGATACACCCTTACAGAAGTTCATCTTTTTCAAAAGCAGCCTCCACCCAGTCTTCCCAAGAAATCAGACTTTTGCCAGAGGCCTATTTTGGGGTGGCAGATTCTGCTCCCTGACAATGTCAGCCACTTTGTATTAAGTCTGCCCCATCCTGGCAGCTGGGGGTGTGTGTGTGTGTGTCTGTGTCCTGGAAGGGTGTGACGGCCTGGCTCCCTCTCCCAAGTCTGGGGGGCAAGCATGTGACCCTCAAGAGTGGGAGATCCCCATGTAGCTTGTGGGGCCTTTTGTGGGGACTGCACAGCAGTGCCCTCCTCTCTCTCCCTAGTCCCCGCTTGCTCTGGAGGATGCTCTGGGCCTGAGGACATCCCTTGGGGGCTGGAAGATGCAGGGTTGGGGTGTTCAGCAGAGCGAATGTGTGCCAAGTCAGAGCATGTGGGGAGCTGCCTGGTTCCAGCTGGTGTCTTTTGAGAGACAAGACTCTGGGGTGCTCGCAGCGCTTGGAACAGGTCTTAGAGTCATGCTAGCTCCAGGCCCCTGTTCAGATGCTGTACCAAGCCGCTGCTCGGCTTTGGTTGGAGTGAGCCGGTCAGATTCATGCTTTGCCAGGAGTTCCCTTGTGGGGTGGTCGCAGGGGCAGGGAGGACCCATCTCTGAAGGTGAGACCCCAAGCCCCAAGGAGCTGCTGCTGGTTGAGTCCTGGGCCCGGCCTGCCCCAGGGGCACACAGAATACTTCTGGTTCTTGAACCACTTTTCTTTGTGTTCCAGAGAGGTGGATGTTGTCCTCAAGTACCTGAAGCAACAGTGCCACGCCCAGAAAATTGGCGTCGTGGGGTTCTGCTGGGGTGGAGTCGCTGTCCATCATGTGATGATGAAATATCCAGAATTCAGGGCAGGGGTATCTGTCTATGGTAAATCCGCTTGTTCATTTTTACACGAAAAGAACAGGAGGAGGAGTGAGTGCCAGGAGCCTCTTTCCAAGTTCAGGGCTCGGGGGGGGGGGCAACACTAACCCCATGGGGCCAACATGGCCCCTTTTAAGAAAACTGCCTTTAGAAAGCTGCAGGTGCAGCTGCCGGGGACTGTGCTGGGAGTGCGGAGGCCTTTGGGGAAGGGGCCTGCTGTCTCAGCAGCTTCCCAGGGATGAGAGGAATAGCATTGTCTCGGTGATGGGTGCTGATGACAGGCCTTTGCCGTGAGCAGTATCCATGGAGGTATTTCCCAAGATGTGACTTAGTCTCAGAGGCACACACACTGCAAAGGAGAGGAAGGAAATGTTATGGCAACATCAGCATTTCAGCCAGGACAGACCAAAGGTAACATAGCAAGGGAAGGAACATCAGGGTGCGTCTAGAACCCGACAAACTGAATTCTCCATATAGAAGCACTCAGACCCTAAAAATGTTAAAAAAAAAAGGGGGCCTCCCTGATGGCACAAGGGGTTAGGATGCAACCTATGAAGCTGTCCGCAGCCATTGCTCCCTGGTTCGATCCCTGGCCAGGGAGCTACCACATGGTGCAGCAGCTACTGTCTCGCCCGCTACTCCCCTCAGCAGTGTATTTCAGTCAGTCTGCCTGCTCTGCTCCCCACTCTGTCTCTGGTGAGTCCTCTCACCCCCCGCACCTCTGGCCTGTGCCCCAGCTCTTGTATGCATAAATAAATAAATCTTAAAAAAGTTAAAAAAAAAGACAAGCTATTTGACCTTCCATCTTGTATTTCATAGTATACCAGTGATGCCCGTTTGGCTTGACAGTTCCTCACTGTGGTGTTTCTGCTGACTTTTAGCATCAAAAAGAAGCCTTGACTTGTTGGCTTACACAAAAACAAAGAAACCCAGGTCGAGCAGCCACTGTCAGGGAGTCCAGGGAAATCGCAGAAAGTGGCCCAGAGGCCGACTCTCGGGCGCCCCCTGCTGTCCCGGCTGCGCAGCGCATGGTGGTGGCCGGGAGCTCGTGGCCGCCCTGGCTGGGGTGGGGGTAGTGGGGTTACCGGGGTCACCTAGCTTTGCGGAGCTGCCAAGAGGAAATGGAAACAACAGCTACCTATTATTTCCTCCTGTTTCCTTATTAGACTCTTTTTTAAAAAGATTTTTTTTTTAATTTGTGTATACAAGAGCTGGGGTGCAGGCCAAAGGTGCCGGGTGCAGGGTGAGAGGATTCACTAGAGACAGAGTGGAGAGTGGGGAGCAGAATGGGCAGATCTACTGAAATACACTGCTGAGGGGAGCAGCGGATGGCTCAGGAGAGGTCTGCTGCGCCATGTGGGTAGCTCCCTGGCCAGGGATTGAACCTGTGTTGTAGTGGCTGCTTCATAGTGCTGAGGCTTTAACCCCTTGTGCCACCAGGGAGGCCCCTAGACTCCCTTCTTGACCAAACCTGAGTCAGGCTCCTCTGTGGGTCCTCAGAGTGGGCACCTACCTCGGGCTCTGGCCCAGCCCGTGGTATGGTGAGGACACCCCCCATCTGTTGGTCACCCTGTCCTGCCTACAGTGAGAACCTTGTCCACTACTCCAGCCAGGAAACCCCCAGTGTCTCCTTGTGGTGGTTTCGACCTGCCGACCCCTCTCTCCTTCTCTGGCCATAGCCCCCCATCTTTGCACTTGGGGCTGAACCCCGTCTCTGCCCGCCACAGGCCCTGCGCCAGCGGCCCCTTTTGTGGGCCATCATCTGAGTGCCAGCGTCCTTGCTTTCCCGGGGAGTGGGCACACCCCCAGTTTGGTCAGAGTCCCTAAGACAGAACATGCTTTGGCTAAAAGATCCCTGAAATTCCGAAATAAAAAAGACATACATTTCACTACCAGCCTGCCGGGACCAGTGCCTGGTGCCAGGGGATCCCACACTTTGGAATCTCGGAGGACTCTGGGCCTCTGAAGGCAACTATCAGTCAAGTGACTGACCTACCTCTTCAGGGGCCTGCTCAGGTGGCTGGAGTCAGAACCTAGGGGCTTGTGAGAAACTTCCAGAACAGTGGTAGCAGGGGTGGGGATTTGGCAGGTCTCCTCTCACTAGGGGGCCGTTTTTCCGCCCCGCTGTCTTAAAGCCTGGTTCCCCTGTGGAATGGCCTGATTGTTCAGGAATGAAGGGAGTTTCTCAGTGAGGCGGACTCAACAGTGCAGGTCACTCTGTGAAACGACTGAAAAGTCAATAAACAAAAGCCCCAAGGCACGCATTTGACTTTGAACAATCAAAGCTGTCGTGGCTTTCTGGGCCACGCAGACGGCAGTCCCACCCGTGTTGCTGTCCCCTCCCAGGCATCATCAGGGACTCGGACGACGTGCACGGACTGAAGAACCCCACACTCTTCATCTTCGCGGAGAACGATGCCGTGATTCCTCTCGAGCAGGTAAGTGAGCACCTTTCTCATGTCTGTGCCCCACGGACCTGGCAGGAAGGTGGCATCTGGGTTTGGGCCAGGCTTTGCTGCTGTTTCCGTGGACACGCACTCCCTGACTTGGTTTACCCTGAGAAGTTGTTCTCTGCTTTGTACACGTGAGCGCATCTCTGGTCTAGACAGAATCCAGGTCCATCTCGAGCAGCTGTGGGCTCCCTCTGGTTTGGAGACCCCTGTTGTAGGCAGAGTCCTGCCCCCACCAGGCCTCCATGGCTGCAGAACCTCTTCTCATCCTTAGATTCAGTAGCACCATGACATTCTGGGGAAAATGCCCCCAAGGGTTCATTTGTTGCTCCAAATACTTTTCAACCTTACAATTAGTTTTTTAAAGATTTATATTTATTTGTGCATACAAGAACTGGGGTGTAGGCCAGAGGTGTGGAGGTGAGAGGATTCACCAGAGACAGAGTGGGGAGAACAGGCAGATCCACTGACATACACTGCTGAGGGGAGCAGCAGGCGAGTCAGGAGAGGTCTGCTGTGCCTTCTGGGTCAGCTCCCTGGCCGGGGACTGCACTCAGGCCACAGCAGTGATGGCACCACAGCGCTGAGACTTAACCCCTGTGCCACCAGGGAGGCCCCTGATGTTAAATATCCTCTCTGAGCACTCACAGATTTGGAGAAGGGGACTCTTGAGGGTTCAAATCATATCCTCCTGAAATCTTTTCCCTATCAGGTCTCGTTGCTGACCCAGAAGCTGAAAGATCGTTGCAAAGTGGAATATCAAATTAAAACATTTTCCGGGCAAACTCATGGCTTTGTGCATCGGAAGAGAGAAGACTGCGCACCTGACGACAAGCCCTATATTGATGAGGCAAGAAGGAATTTACTTGAGTGGCTGAACAAGTACATCTAACCATGGCCAAGTGCCAACTCACAACAGCTTTCATCCAGAAATTTGCCTGAAGTACTTCATGATTTAATTTTCACTTCATGTAAAATAAACCAAGGAATCCTGAAATTCACTTTCATCCGAGATATAAGTTCAGTAGGAAATATTAATGTATGAAATAATTTAATTTTTAATACGTGCCTAAATAAAAGATATTAAAACAGGCCCGTAGTGGAAGAATCTAAACGCGAGAGTGACACGGTGAGCGCACGCCCAGGGCCGCGCCGGAGCCGGGGTGGCCCTCCTGCCTTGCGCTGGGCTCCTCCTTGGACTGCAAAGCCCAGAACATGAACTGTAAACTCAGGTGGGGAAAAGCCAACTTGATTAGATGTGTATTTTGTCCTCCTGCGGATGAATTTGCTACGGCCACAAATGGCACCGTGAGAAATGCTGAGCTGAAAACCTGGCATCCAAATGACCTAATTATTTCAAGCTAACAAACTTAATTCTGAGTCTTAAAATGTATGACTTTATCTAAAAGCTAATTAAAAATGATGGGATTCACTTACTGTCCGGCTGTTTCTAGGCAGGGATTCTCTAAACCCTGGCATTTTGGGGTCCCAGGAGCCGGGGCTGCGTGAGAACCCTCTCATGCATTCAATCAGAGTTAATTACAGTTACACCACTGACAATGGCAGGGGAAGGGTGTGAGGGGGAGGGTTTGGGGGTTGATCGGACAGTGTCCAGGCCTTAGGTGGGGTCCTGCAGGTGCAGGGCGTGAAGCTGCCCTCCTGAGACTCGGCGTTGTCAACCAGTGCAACCCGGAGGGCGTGAACATCTCCAGCTCCTTAGCAGCCCTGGCCGCGGTCAACACCCCTGTGGCTGGGCACAAAGCGAGACCCACTTGGGGCAGCGCCGTCTACACCAGCCACGGGCCTGACTTCCCCGGCCGCTGTTCTGCGTGACAGCCTGGGCGTGCCTCTCCTAGCTCCAGCGGGAGTTGAGTCCAGAGCGGCGACCTTTTCTCTCGGGATCCTGCGTCTGCAGTGCCCACCCGTGGCCCGGGCTGGTGAGGCCCCTCCACCTGGGGGCTCCACAGGGAGGGTCCCTGGTACAGAGCGGGGTTGTTTCCACCCGTTTGTGCCACGGCCCATTGGGGGCCACACCACCTCTGCGTCTTGGCTGGGCCTGGGGGTGCCAAGGGGGTCTGATGGTTTCGGCTTCTTCAGAGAGCACTGGGAGCCACAGCCCTCTGCAGGGGGGCGGGGGGAGTAGTGACGGGAGGGGGGAGTAGTGGGTGGGGGAAGTAGTGATGGGGGCTGGGGGGGGGAGAGTAAAGAGCAGCTGGGAGGACGCAGCGGCCCTGCGGTCTAGACGGGAGATTACCTGGGGGTGCAGCAGCAGAACTGGGCCATGGGAAGTTTGGTTTTGGTCCTGCCTGGAGTATCAGGCTTTCTTAGGCTGCAAATGACAACGCTTGACGGGCAGTGGCCGAGAGTAACACCGAAGCCCCCACACCTCCCAGGGTCTTGTTGGCATCAGGATGTGGGTGAGGGCTGCCACCCTGGGCCTCTCAGAACAGCAGCAGTGGCAGGGAGGGTCTCTACCTGAACCTGCTGTTGTCAGGGGACATTTTCCAGAACCCCCTCCTGGTTTCCCGTATGCCTTGGTTAGGGAAAAGGTGTGCGCGGCCGGGACTGACAGGAGCTGGATGTGTGGGGTGGGCAGCCGGGGCCGGGAAGCCTGTGTCTCCCTGAAGACTTGCGAGCCACGCGTTCCGGGAAGCAGGGTGTTTGAGGGGCCGCCTCCTCTCTGGCTGGACGTCTGTCCACCACGCACCGGCTGTGAATGCCACTGCTGTAAGCAGGTCTGTCTGACCGGGTTCTAGACCCAGAGTCTGTGCCCTGATGCCCCGCCAGGAGGCGGGCTGCTCCCACCCGCGGGAGGATGGAATGCACCCCAGGAACACACTCAGGTTTCCACTTCCAACACTGAGCCGTGTTCCAGAAACACTGAAATGAAGACCATTGGCACTTACTCCACTCTCCACTTCAGTGAACCCGCCAGAGCACTAACGTAGAGACAATGACCGACGGTCAGCACCGGCCAGTGCCTGTGTTCTCCTGAGAAGGTAACCCTGTGACATCACCCAGGCCAAATGAGACAACTGGCATATCCTCATTCTCGAGTCCCATCCGTAAATCCTCCCTTGGGTGGCAGTGACCTTAGTCACCTTTTCCCAACATTCCTCCACAAAATCCAGACACCTAGACGCAAGCAGACGCTGGACGCAACCCAGCATCGGGGATTAGAAGCCTGGAGTCAGGCATCTGGTCTGCCCCAGCTGCTGCTTCACGCTGGGATGCAGGCCGGGGACCACCTACCTAAGGCATGAGAAGAGCACCTCCCCGGTGTCTGGAAGGGCTGGCTCCCCCCACCCATGGCGACTGTGAGCCGTCTCCTCCTGCTCAGTCCGTCTCCTCCTGCTCAGTCCGTTTCCTCGCTTTCCACGCTCACCCTCCTTGCTTTGCCCCTCGGAGCGGAGAACACCCTCCCAAGTGGCTGCAGGTGGCACGCGACACCAGCTGGCTGTGTTCAGGGTGGGCCAGGGCCAGAAACAGCAAAGCGGACCCTGCAGAGCGGCTGCCGGGAACTGCAGAAACCGCCTAGGTCTCCCGCCTGTAACCTGGCAGGTATTGAGGGCCCCCCAGTCGCCTGGTGGGGACGCACCGCCGCAGGGAGCCCTACAACCGAAGGGTCCTCCATTTGATGGTACAGCATTGAAAGGCGTTTTGTAAGATGTTTTAAGCTGTCTTAAATTTTTTAAATCTTTAATGTTTTAAGCTGTCTTAAATTTTAAGCTGTCTTAGGATTTCTACTCAACCTCTCTCCAATTATGGCGTTTGATTATTACAATGAACGGTTCACTAAAACCTGAAGAGCGTCACACAGCCCGGGGGACAGCACCCCCACAATCAGAGGACTTTGAAGCCAGTTACCAAACAGCTTTTTATTACAGCATCTCAAGCGGCTAATGGAGGATGGAACAATAAATAACTGTAGATGTAGCACGGGACACCATCCAATCACAGCAGCAGGTCTTACTACAATTACTCTAGATTCTTCTTTATTCTTCAGATTCTCCAGGCTTACGGATGTCGTCAATCTTCAAAATCATCCTAACCATCTGAGTGGCGAGAGAGATCTGCTGCTTTTTGCCGATCAAGGTTTCTATGACGTGTTGTTGCTTCATATCTGAGAAAGAACAAGTTTATTACCCCAGAGAGCACACACATTTGTACCGGCAACTTTCTCCACCTTCCAGGATCATAGTAAAACTTCAGCTGTGCGGTGACTAGTGCCAGCTGTATCTGTATCTGAAGGACACCTGGAATCTGACCCTGGTCACCGGAGAGCTGGGGTGGGCGGGAGGAGGACCTCTCTTCAACCACCAGTGAAGTGTCAGGAGCCCGCTAGGATCACATCTTTCAAGGACACTTCATACCTCCCAACCCGGCAGCCGACACAGCAATTTAGCAAACCTGCAATCTGTACCTGAAATTACAACTAATTTCAAGAAAGACTTAGAAATGGTAACATTTTAGCATAATCACTCCTTTAAGTTGAAAAAAAAATTTAATTACCTGTCAGAGTGGCTGCTATGAAACCCCCGGGGTGCAAACTGCAGAAGGCCCGACCTACTCTCTTCAGTAAAAGCAGACAAGTCTGCGGTTGGGACTGATCACAGGGCCTCAGACTCGGCCAAATTAGAACAGAAACGACGGGGCTGCCCTTTCAACAAGCCGAGGTGGTACTGCCTTCTCAGCAGATGCTGACGGGGCAGCTCAGTCACGCCACGTTTATAATTATAAACACCCCTGGCCAACAGGCCATGCTAGGAATAAGCAGCTAGAAGCCGACCTCAGAGCTGTTTTACACAACACCCTGAGGCCACTGTGACAGGTGTTTGTGCGAAGAAAAGTGAGTTGGGCCTCCCCGGTAGCGCAGCGGGTTGAGCGCCACGCTGTGAAGCTATCTGCACCCTCTGCAGCGTGGATTCGATTCCTGGCCGGCCAAGGAGCAACCCACATGGCGCGGCAGACCTCTCCTGTTTCGCCCGCTGCTCCCCTCAGCAGTACACTTTGGTCAATCTGCCTGTTCTGTTCCCCGCTCTATTGCTGGTGAATCCTCTCACCCTCCTGAACTCCTGGCTTGTACCCCAGCTCTTGTATAAATAAGTAAAATCTTAAAAATATAAAATCTAACAGCAATCAAATACAGTTTTCTTAAAAAAAAAAAAAAAAAAATTGACCGGGGAATTATTTTTTAAAACCAGAGACTGAACGTCACCTTTGGTGTAAGCACACTAGCTTGTCACAGAAGTGAACTCCAGCTGTCTAAGCTGCTCCGGAGGCGAGATGATCGAACACTCAAGTTCAGGACCCAAATACCCAGCGTGTGAAGCATCTCGAAGACCCCACCTGGCCAGCATGCCCCACCGGCCTCCCACCCAGGACGCGGGGACCCGGCGTGAACCAGCCCAGCCCGCATGACGGTGGCCGCTCACCGTTTGTGCCCTTGTGCAAACAGTCAATCCCAAGAGCAGGGTTCGCCTCCTTCACTTGTCTGGCTCGGACTTCGGTCATGGTCTGGATGGGGTTCATGCCACTGTTTTCCGAGAGGGCCATGGGGATGACCTCCAGAGCGTCGGCGAAGGCGCGCATGGCGTACTGCTCCAGGGTGGGGCACTGCGGGCACAGGCGTTGGGTGAGTGGGGGCGGGAAAACCAGCGGAGATGCCGACACTTCAATCACATACTCTGAAAGACTCAAGAATTCTAAGACTGGGCTGCCCTGACTACTCTGAATCCACCACAACATAAAGTCACCCACGAGTGAGGACGAAGCCACACACGAAAGCAGTCAGACAACGTGCTCTTACTGCTCTTAGGGTGGACTTTGAATTTCAAATCTCGTTCAAAGACCAGAGAGCTCACCCACCACAGTCAAGGCTCAGGGCCAGTGTCCGATGACCAGCATCCGACCCCGGGGTACAGGGAGGCACGCTCAGGCCGTGCAGCTACTCACCTTGTCTGCTGCTTGGCTCACGGCCAGCGCGCAGGCGATCTCCGCAGCGCCTCCGCCGTACACCACGCGGTTGTCCCGGATGAGGTTCCGGATGACGCACAGCGCGTCATGAAGGGATCGTTTTGCCTCCTCGATGATCTAGGGACACAGATTTGCCTATATCAACATGGCTGTGATCTCTGTACCCATCCTGCTGCCTGGCACCTCTGGTTTAATCTAAGTGCTCATTGGGCACTGGCTGGCCCCACCGTTCACCCCATCCTGGTTACAAGCAAGTGCAGGCTGGAGGTTACATTCTGCCATCACCCGCCCTCTTTCCTCCCGACAACATAGTTTAAACAAACCAGCCAAATAACCGAACAGGCAGCCCGGGGTTTGTTGCAGGACGCCACCATGTGAAGGCGGCCAACAAACTGACAAGAAAGCCCCTGGGAGTGCTGTGCAGGGGCACTGACACCCGGGGGTGGAGGCCAGCACGGCTGTTCCCCACGCCCCCATTTCCACCCCTGGGACTGACAGTGGCCGTGACCTTTAGCATCTCACATTGTATGCTGCTGCGTCTCTGATAAGTGTTTTGGGGAAGGGCAAACTGGAATCGGGGGAGCACATCCCACGGAACGCTCACCATCTTATTTCCTCCTCGGATGAAAATGGTCACAGCCCTGGAGTTCTTGCACTGCTCGATGACCAGCATCTTGTCCTTGGTCGTCCCAAATGAGATCTCTTTCACAAGCCCAGCAAAGCCCAGTTTCTCAGCGGTCAGCTCTGAGAACCGTGGGACAATGCGCCCCCCAGTCGCAATGGCGATCAACTGGTCGTGGCAGACGATGAAGGAGAAGAAAGGAGAGAATAAGCCCAGGGACAGCCAATCTTCAAAATCAGACCACCAACTTGCTCTATGACCCTATCCACCCCTGCTGCCCCCCTCTGGCCGAAATATTGTGGAGTCTTGCTGAAAGCAAGAGGTTCTGAAGAGCCGGCGTCCTGCTGCACAGCTCCCCATCTCTCGACCTTGTCTCGCCAACTGTGCTCTGCGATCACAGAGCTCTGCAGCTGCCCTGCTGTAAACCTGGCTGCGGGGAGGACCAAAGGCCGGGGTGTCTGCAGTGCAGACCATGGCTGGGAGGCTGTTAGCGATGGGCTGACACAGAAGGGGCAGATGGGCCTTCCTGCCTCCGAGAGCCAACGAGGCCCTGTGAGGTGACACGTGGAAACACCCCAACGCGCTGTGGGAGCACGAAAACACAGCACAGACTATGACAAGAGGGGCCCTAGCACCCTCCCTCTCTCAGCTCCTCCTCCCCCTTCACAAGGCTGAGCGGGACGTGGCTATTAAGGCTGCACACCCAAGAAACCCCCAAATCCACAACTTCATCGTAAGCTCAACCCCTAGTTCATAAGCCTTTCCCCAAGGAGCTCCCTACCTCGATTTCAGGTCCTCCCACCCAACGAACCGCAGGCAAGTTATTCTGAAGAAGTAAATGATTTGCTTCGTCATCAAAGCCCCACTGGCAAATAGCAAGGTTGGCGCCAGTTTCTTTAATCTGGGAAAAGACAGACCACAACTGTGTTAACATGAAGGAAGACTCCTTAACAGGCTCACATTTGAAAACAGGCTGGAAAAGGGTGAGATGCACAGTGGGGGGTGCGAGGGGGAAACATCAGAAGAAAAAGTGGACTGGAAAGGAAGCAGGTGGACTCTGTCAGCCCAAGTTCTGCATGATAAACATCACAGAAATCGCCTCCTTTGTCAAACTGTGCTTGAAAAGTTAGTTAATTCACGCTGAAGTAAAACCAAACATCCGTAACACCCTCGCCCCGGAAACCAGCGAACTGTCACTAGTACCAGGAGGCAGTGGCACTCACACCAGCCTGACGCAGTCTCGTGACACGCATTTCCTACCAGCCTCCGCCGGTGTGGCCTGTCCTTGGGAACGAAGACTGAAGCAGAGGTGAGTCACCCCCCCCCATGGCCCCGCCAGAGCACCCAGAGCACCCACCCCGTGCGTTTGGCCAAGAACCAGGGCGCACCTGCTGAACCATCTCTTCGAATTTCTCCTTTTCGTATTTCTGAAGGGCTTTATAATCTTCTACAGAAGTCACGTCTAGCTTATGCTTTGTCTTTGGTTTCGGTGGCTCAAACGGGCACGTGAGAATGGCAATCTTTGCGTTTTCCACTTGCTGCCAGGAAAGAGAGAAAAGCTGGAGCCGGTGGATTTAACAGTCAAGAAACAGCGTAGCCCCGTGAAAGGTGACAACTTACTTTCGGCATCTGCGGGTGACTGAAGTCCTTGTCCACGATCACGCCCTTAATGAGCTTCGTGTCCTCCAACCTCCCGCCCACTTTGCCTTCCACCTTGATGAGCTCGAAGTCGACATCTCGCCGCTGCATGTCGGCGACCGTGAGGACCGCGTTCACGGCGATCTCGGCCATTTGCCGGTGACAGCTGTTAACCCTGAAGAAAACCAAAACATTCCTTCATGTCCACTGAAAACAGTCGCGACAAGAGCAGAAAAGGAGATGGAAAACGGCAACTCTGGCACTCGGCACCACAGTGTCACCCAGTGACGTCTTATAAAACGCAGGGTGCTCGGTCTCGTTCGACCTGCACTTGCAGGCTCTGAGGCAGGGAGTCCCGTCCTCACCTGGGCGCCCGGGACCCCAAAGGGAAACATAACTAGGATGGCAGAAAAAAAATCACATCTCTATTTTCACCAATGAACCGAAATGTACTATCTCCCTGCACTACAGACGTGGCCAAGCGAGCCCCGAGTGGGACACCACACACGTAGAGCCTGCTCCTCTTCAGGACTGCAGCGCGGCCGTCACCGGACCTTGAGGGCTCCGAGCCTGCAGAGGGGGATGCTGCCTTTTGGGAAAACTCGCAAACCTGAATAGACTGCTTAAACTCAGTGTTCACTCAGGAAAAACCACAAGGGAAAGCTAGTACTTGAATATAGTGCCTGAATGCCTAAAACTTTCTGTCATCTGGAAAAGATAACTGTGGAACTGAAATCGTCATCCTCCTAAGCAGGTGACTGAGTGTCCTGCTTCAGGGTAAATGCACGTGGCCATTTCCAGGGACCGGAGCTTCTCCCGCAGTGAAGACCCACACACGCTCGGCACCCAGGAAGCCCCGAGAGAGCAGGGCCAACCCACAGAGCAGCAGACATACACTTTGGAGCCCAGCGTGGTCTTGGCAGTCTGAATCAGGGGTTCGATGTCCGTCACGTCGACGTAGACGCTGTCGCTGATCTTGTCCAGGTGCTCGATGGCGATGCGGGCAGCCTGCTCGTAGCCGTCGGCGATGCGGATGGGGTGGATGCCGCGGTCCAGCAGCTGCTCGGCTTCCTCCAGGAGGGCGCCGGCCAGCACTGCAGGAGAGAGGGCGCATAGTCGGTGCAGGACACACAAGACCGTATTTGTAGTGAAATCAGAACTAGATGCTATTTTGGAAACAGAAGCTTCCAGAGTTAAGCTGGGAGTATCTCAGGGGTGAGGCCACCTAATCAATTTTTAAAAAGGGAGCCTCCTGTTTGTTTCCAGCAAAGGTCTAATAGGTCTAGACTCTGAGTGGTGCAGAGACTGTTAACCAAGGACATGATGGAGGAGGGAAACGTCATGCTTCTGGGCCAGGGACTTTTTAGTGAAACTCGTGCTGGTGACAAAGGACCAAATGTTTATTCTAGTGCCAGAGATGAGGCGCTTTGCTTGTTTTCATTTGGCTGCACCCCAAGTACATCCAGATAGCGCTCAGCGATATCTGTTTTTTTTTTTTTTTTTTATATAGAGGCATGTTTTCTTTCTTTTCTTTATTTGTTTGTTTTTTTGTCTATACATGCACTGGGTACAGTCAGAAGCGCGGGAGGGTGAGAGAATTCACCAGAGCCAGAGCGGGGAGCAGAGCAGGCAGAAGGACCGAAGTACACTGCTGAGGGGAGCAGCGGGCGGCAGGAGAGGTCTGCGCGCCATGTGGGACCCTCCTCCGGTGGCTGGGGAGCAGCCGGGGATCGAACCGGCGCCGCAGAGGCGGCGGGCAGCTTCACAACCCAGCACTCAACCGCTGCGCCACCGGGGAGGCCATCATACTTGATCATTCTTTAATCTCCCCCAACTTTTCAGATATTCCAGACCTTCAGAAACGATGCCGGAACAGTAAAATGAACCCTAGCTTACTAATGACGGCCACTTGGCCACACTGGCTTTCTCTGCACACAGAACTTTGTGCTTAGCAATTTGAGAGTGTGTCCCAGGAACCGCGATGGGTCACCCCCGAAGAGCTCAGCACACAGCCCTAAGCGCAGGTGCGTTATCCTATCTCAGTGTGCAAGAACTGACACCCTCAGGAATGCCACACTGAGAGGACACTAGTTTGGAAGACACAGCCCCCAGCCCCTCGACTCAAACATCCTTTCAGCTTTAAAAACCAAACACCCGGCACCCGATCAGGTGCCAGAGGTCACAGCTAGCGCCCTGTCTCTTTGGCTCCTTTTACCAGAAGAGCTTAACCAGCCCCTCGTTCCATCGCTGAGCCTGGGGGATGGGGGTGCTGGCCTGGCAATGTGCCTTCACCCGTCTCCTGAGAGCAGGTTCTGAGTGAGCGGGCTCAGCAGGGACTGCCTGTAACAGCTCTTCAACAAGAAGGATCTCCCGCCTTTTCTCACCAACGACTCCTGTGGTTCCATCTCCAATTTCGTCATCCTGTGACTTGGACAGTTCGACCATCAGCTTGGCAATCTGATGATCGACGTCCATCATGCTTAGAATGGTGGCGCCGTCGTTGGTCACAGTCACGTCGCCATCCTTATCCACCATCATTTTATCAAGCCCTAGGAAGACAGCGATGTTTAGAATGGCTCTGGGTGAAAACACTTAGCAATCCACACCAAGGAATTGGACTTCTTGAGTCGGTTGCTAGCTATGAAACTATAAATAAAAACCTCAAAACAAGTGACTATCTCCAAAATGACATTTTAGATTCACTAACATAAAGCAAGTCCTGGAAACACCTAAAACCAGGGAAATAGCAAAAACGCCACAGAACATCACCATGAAGCTACTGTAATAACAAAAAAGGGTTCACTGTGATCAGGAAAACGCTACTGACACGCGGGGAGGGGATCTGACCTGGAAGCGCACACACTCCGGGACGACAAATATGCTAACAGCCTGGAATTCACTGAGGAGTTTGGCCCCGCCGCGGGAGGAGGCTGCCCTTCCATGTCGCAACCTGCTATAGCGGCTGTACCGACCACTTACAGAATTTAAAAATTTTGTTATAAACAAAGAACGAGAGACTCTTACCGTTTGGTCCGAGAGAAGTCCTCATTGTGTTTGCTACAGCCTTTGCCGCCATGATGTGAGACTACGGGGAACAACGAGAAAGCAAATATTCACGTCACGCACAACTGTAACCGATACGCGCACACAGCTGACGGCGATGAAAATCACCCCGAGGCTGCTGTCTCTGAAAGCCTCTACACTGAGATGCAACAGACAGGCTGAAAAATATGCCCACGTGCTAACATTCACGACCAGTTACGGCACGACTCTTTTTCTGACTTATTCATTCATGCATTCCCGAGACAGCATTTATTCCTAACACCGCGCAAGATTCCGGGTACAGGATCTGTCTTCAGGTCCCAGCACACCCCGCCCCCCACAACCCCGCCCCGTGCTCCCTCTCCTGCCTTGCTCCCTCTCCACCCCCTCCGGCAGCCTCAGTTCTACAGTCAGATTTCCAGGGTTTGCTCCTGGTTTGGCCTTTTATTTCTGACCTTTTTTCCTTCCTCTATAGTCCATACGTAAGTGAAACCACCTGCAGTTTATCTTCCTACTGACTGACTTCGCTCAACACAGTCCCCCATGCTGCACTGTGCAGATACCGAGGCGCGGAAGCGCTGGCTCAAACATCTATTTTCAATGTTTGGAGAAAACGTCATCCACAGGGGCTGGATCATCCACAGGGGCTGGACCGGTCTGCATTCCAGGTGGCAATTCTTATGGAAAAGCAGCAGAACCAGGCACTCTGTTCTCTCCCTGGCTCCTCAGCACGTCCGTCTGGGAGGCAGGCCCTCGCACGCCGGCCAGAGCCAGGAGGCTTGACCAGACCACCGAGCAAGGTGCACACTGGGCGATGAGTCCAGTCACAAGCACACAGCACCTTATAGAGACTCTTCTGGCAGCCGGCACATGACGCGTATGCTGAGGGTCATCCCTGCCTGTCACCTGCCAGCGGCAACAAAACTGAAGGGCACAGAAGCCCGCCGCCATCCTTTCCTTTAGACCCATTTTTCTCCTTCCAAATGTCTTCATCGTTGCCATCACCAACCCAACCCAGGAGGCAAGAACCTATGGAATTCCAGGGACTCCTACTCCACCTCCTATCGCTATCCTTCAGATTCATCCCACCTAGAGCTAACCCAACCATTTTCCTCAAACACTCCACTTATCAGTCCCCAAGAGTTCCCAGTGCCTCAACGCTCAAGTCTAAAACTTCTGCTTTTCCTGAAAGCTCCCTCACAATCTGAGACCTAGACCCCTTCCAGAGGATGGTCGCTGCTTATCCCCCAAACCTGTCTTTCAACCCCCAGAGCGCTGATGGGCAGAAGGGCCTCTAGCCTCCAAAATCCTGACCGCCTTTAAAAGCCATTCGAACGCACACGTTCTGCGTAGTCACCCGTATGGTGGGTAACAGGACACAAAGTTCATCTGGGCTGTGAAAATACCTGTAATCCTTAAAATTCCCACTGCCTTGTCTGTATATTGGAATCCTTACAGGACAATAATCACAGGCAGGCGGTTCTTAATCAGGGATGAATTTTATCCTCCAGGAGACACTTCTGGTAGTTACTATCGGGGAGAGGCTGAGACTGGCATGGAGGCTGTATCTCTGATGGGTTGACTTGAAGGGGACATGTCTACATGAACACAATTTGGATCGTCTGACTCAGTTTGTCCAACCAGCTGTCTACTGGCTGGTGCTGACTGTCAGGGAACGGTCTACCCATGGACAAAACGACAAACATCCTAGACAGCAAGGCTCCCACAAGACACTGGCCTGGCCCTCAATATTACTAGTGCCATGGCTGAGACCCTTTCCCAGACCACTTGCCACACAGAGGTGGGCTTGACTCACACCCACTTCTTTATTAGCGATGTGAGTATAGGCGACTACTTAAGTGCTCTGGGGCCCGGTTTTCAATTCCATAAAAGTCGCTAAACTAACACCTATCTCAGGGGTTGAAGCCTGCCCGACATAATGCTGTTGAGCAGTAAACACAGGAGCTGCTGCAAAATAACCTCTAGTGTCCACACTGTTATGCTGGGTGGGGGTACTGGCCGGTCCTGTAGCTGAAAAATGAAACCGAATTTGCAAGACAGGCCAGCCCTGAATTTATGGCTTCTCATTTCTGTCTCCAGCGTGCAGAGGCATTAGATCATGACCCTCTGCGGAGGAGGTTCAAGTAGAAAGGAGAGTCCATGAAGAACGGCCTGTTTTAGTTTCAGCAACTCCCCCTGATCGATACTAAGCTAGTCAGGAGACCTCAGGCTCAGGCACAGTCTGTGCACTTCAAACCCTAAAGAAGTCGGCGGCCTCTCGAAGCCCCCCCTTCCCGCCCACCCTGCCAGTGCTTCTGCGAGCCCACCACCCTCCTCGCCGCACGCCCAGGCCCTCAGCCCATCCCAAACACCGAGGCCGAGGACGGCAGGTTTTCTCGGTGATTCAAAGCCCCCCACGGATCCTCCTTCCCGCCGGCAGCCCTGATCCCAGGCCCCCGGCAGGGCCACCTTTGGGGGCCGCCGGAGCGCAGCCCGCGCCCCACGCAGCCCAGGGGCTCTGCGCCCGGCAACCTGCCCCGCCCTGCGCCAGCGCTTCCCTCTGCCGGCCCGGAGCAGGGCTCATCCCCCTTCCAGGCCGTCTCCACCGAACCCCGGAGCATGCTGCGGCTGCCACCCCCCCCCCAACGGGAGACTCCACGCACCCTGCGGTGCGCGCTCTGCCCCGGCGACAGTGGCCTCTTCCTCGGGGACGGCGTCCCGCGCCCGCGCGCCGACAGGCGGACAGGAAAACACGCGGCAAGCGACCGAGCCTTTCAGCCTTGACAAAGAGGCGCCCCCTTTCCGTTAGGGCGCTCGCAGGTACCCTAAGGGGAGGCCAGAAGTGACCCCACGATGCCTTCGCTGCCTCCCACACGGGGACGCCCCACGGAGCGGCCCCCGGGCGGGGTCAAGGCGGGGCGCCCCACGGAGAGGCCCCCAGGAGTGGGGGTCACGGCGGGGCGCCCCACGGAGCGGCTCCCGGGCGGGGACACGGGGGGGGCAGCGCCCACCCCCGGGACGGCCCTGCGGCCCCACCCGCGCCCCCAGGCCGGGGCCAAAGGCTACTCCGCCACCCTCTCCTGCCCTGAGGGATCGGGGTGCGGGCGCGAGGGGAGGGGACCCCGCGGCCTGCCGCCCCGGAGCACATGGCGGAGCCGCTCCCCCTACACTGCGCAGGCGCAGAGCCCCCGGGCCCGCCGCCTCCCCGCCGCCCGCGCGGGGCCCCCCGCACCTTGAGGGCCTCGAGTCCCATAAGACGGGACTTGCGGTCCTGGTCCTTGATGATGAGGAAAGGACGCCCATACTCGTCGAAGGCGAGAGTGCCCACGGACGCCATGGCGCTGCCGCGGAGCTCCGTTCCCAGCCGGCGGAGCCCACCCCGGAAGCCGGCGCGCCACTTCCCCCCGCGGGCGGGCGCGGCGCTCGCGCAGGCGCAGAGCAGGCCGCGGGGACTTGTTTCGCAGCCGGGACTAGTTTAACGCCGGGACAGCACCTTCTGGAACCGGCCGCCCTCGGAAACTTCCATCTTTCAGAAAGTTGTGGGGGGAGTTCAAAGAGGCGGAGCGAACTTTTAGAAGCCACACACATGTGTAGCTCGAATGCGGTCATGTCGTTAAGCTACAGAGTGAGGCCAGCTGGGGAGCGGGCGCCGCGAGGAATTCCCTCGCTCAGAGCATGTTTTCTCTCTCCTCCCGCCCCGGCTCCCCGAGATGGTAGAGTCCACTTCCGGATTTCCCCCCCCCCCCACTCCCAAATCTCGCGATGGCGGGAGGAGGTGAGCGGCGGCCGCGGCGGCGTGGGCAGCGTGGGCGCGGCGCGGGGACGCGCGTGGTCCTGGGGGCGCCTGTGCCCGGCCGGCGGGGGTGTGGGGGCGCCGGCGGCCGCCCGTGCTCTGGGGTGCGGGGGGCTTGTGAGCCCGCGGGCACGGCCGTGTCCTCTGAGCGCCCCTCGCCTGGCCCAGTCCTCAGACTTGCCGTCCGCTCGGCTCTGGTCACGGCTCCGAGCACATCCGGGAGCCGGAGCTGGGGAGACAGACTGACCGGGGGGCTCGGGCTGGGGGTTTGGGGCGGCGGCCCCAGGATAAGGGGCTTGTCTGGAGGCGACGCGGGGCGCACGCGCCTCCGGGGACGCCCCGGCACCAGGCCTTGACGCGCCCAGCAGGTCACGGCGACGCCCCCCCCGCCCCCCCAGTCCCTGCACCCCACTTCTGCAGGGCGAGCCGCCACACGGCGTTGTCACTCTCAGGCCTGCGCCGGGGCTTTCTGCGCCCTCCCTTCAGCTGCCCAGCGCCCTAAAGGGTCGTGTTGCGTCTGGGTCGGGCCTTGGTGAGGACGAGCCAGGGTAACTCACACCCCGGGTGGGCGCTGAGCCTCCAGACTGCGGCCCTCGGGGTCGCTTGGCCCGTGACAGATGCGGGACGTGGAAGTACACGCAGCACGAGTTCGATTCCTGGCCGGCCAGGGAGCTACCCACACGGCGCGGCAGACCTCTCCTGCCTCGCCCGCTGCTCCCTCAGCAGTGGATTTCAGTCAGTCTCCTGTCCTGCTCCCCGCTCTGTCTTGGGGAGTCCTCTCACCCCACGCACCTCTGGCCTGCACCCCAGCTCTTGTATGCATAAATAAATAAATCTTTAAAGCAAAAGTACACTCGGACTACAGGGGTCTTGGAAGCCCCTCCCACCAGGCTGGAAAGTGCCTGGAAGCGTGTTGAAGTCCCTTGACTTCAACCCATCACACACCAACCGTCCTAAACTTCCTGCAGTCGGATTTTGTGGTGGAGGTGTGTTCTCACTTGGTTTTCCACCTCGAAGCCACTCTTAAGTCACTTTAGTGACCTCACGAGTCAAGAAGAACTACCCTCCTCCCTCCATTGGAGGCGCCGTGGGTGGTCACATGCTGTGGAGAGTTGCTCATGGCTGGGGACCCCCCTGTGTTCAAGTTGAGCCGCCTCAAAGTAGAACAGGTGACCACGTTCAGTGTAGGTGGGCAGAATAATGACCCCCCAGTATGTGCACATCCTGGTGCCCAGAATCTGTGAATAATTGATGGGAGACTGCAGACACGGTCAAGGCAAGGACTCAGCTGGGAGTGTCATCCTTGTCCCTGTGGCCCCGTGTAATCAATCACCCTGTCTGAAATAGGGTAATAATTAGATATAGTCAAGCTTGCTTGTTTATGAGATTTTGTTCTGAACCATGAGAACAGACTGCACGGTCAGCGCTTGAAGGAATGGATGCTGAATTCGTAAGAATCCAGATAGGCTGGAAGACATAGTTTTCCAAGATGACTTCCAGAAACAAAAATCAATGTGTTGGAAAGAAAAGATTTCAGTCTTCCATTAGTGTTGAATCATTTTCTCTGAGTCGCTTTAATTTAGTGACTGGAATCTACAACTCATTGTGGAATCATACGTTGGCCATTAAGACTGTATTCAACTACATCATTTTTTTTTTTTTTAAAGATTTATGTATTTATTTATACAAGCACTGGGTACAGTCAGAAGCGCGGGAGGGTGAGAGAATTCACCAGAGCCAGAGCGGAGAACAGAACAGGCAGAAGGACTGAAGGACACTGCTGAGGGGAGCAGCGGGCGGCAGGAGAGGTCTGCGCGCCATGTGGGACCCTCGCCGGTGGCTGGGGTTGGAACCAGTGCTGCAGAGGCTGCGGGCAGCTTCGCAGCCCAGTGCTCAACTGCTGTACCACCAGGGGAGGCCCTACATGATTCTTTTAAAAAAGCATGATTTTATTTGTAAGAATTGTAGGGGCTCCCTAGAGGCACAGGGGTTAAAGTCTCAGCGCTATGCAGCTATCACCAGCCACTGCAGTGTGAGTTCGATCCCCAGCCAGGGAGCTGACCCACATGGCACAGCAGACCTCTCCTGACTCCCCGCTCCTCCCCTCAGCAGTGTATTTCAGTAGATCTGCCTGTTCCGCTCCCCACTCTGTCTCTGGTGAATCCTCTCACCCCCTGCACCTCTGGTCCACACCCCAGTTCTTGTGTGCATAAATAAATAAATCTTAAAAAAAAAAAAGAATTGTAGGGAGAAAAACAGAACCTGAGATTTCTGGTTTGCTGGCACCTATGTATTTTCTGCTTGCTCTCAATCCAGGTGCATCCACAGAAGCACTGAAAGAAGAAAGTGGGTCACCACCTGCCCGGCCCGCACCTCTGGGAGTCAGTGGCCCTAAGAAGAGCCAATGGGGCTTCTTAATCACCGGGGTTGTTGGCGGTACACTGGTGGCCGTGTATGCTGTGGCCACACCATTTATAGCACCAGCCCTCCGCAAAGTTTGTTTGCCTTTTGTGCCTGCAACAACCAAGCAGATCGAGAATGTCGTGAAGATGTTGCAGTGCAGGAAAGGCTCGCTGGTGGACATCGGCAGCGGCGATGGGCGTGTTGTGAGTTTTGCTAAAGACATTTGAATAAAGTTTGGAACTAGAATTGTTAAAATCGCTGTGGAGCTTTGCTCAAGACTGGCTATATATGACAACATAATGAAGTAGTTTAATTTTGTGTGTGCTTGGCCAGACTAGCAAACCCTCCGACATGAATTTGGAATTGATTTTTCTCTAATTTTTTCTTAATGCAGTACTTTGTAGATATCCCAGGTAAGAAGGAACAGTTAATTGGTGATGATGAAACTGTCCATTGAAAAACTTGCACCAACAGAGTTAGTGTTAGTAGAAGAAATAGGTTAAATCATGGCATTTCATTTCTGCAATATTTCACATTTTTGTACCCATATTGGCACCTGTGCCTTTTTGCATCTATATCTATTTCTGTTTCTACATGTCTATTAATCTCTACCTCGTAATGTTGTTGAGATGGGGAGAGGCAGTGCCTTAGTCCCCACTCATCCAAGATCAGACTGTTGGTGACTTCAACTCACGTTGACCCTGGCTGAAATCCATAAATAAAGACGTAAGGCCATTGACCAGCCAGTGGGTGTTTCAGAGTGTTCTGTGGGGGAGGTGGCACCGTCCTCCGGTGACTGGAATAAGGCTGTGCTGACATGACCTGGAGCCTGTCATGTCAGTGGGACTGGGAGTCATTGGGAACAGGTTAAAAAGTGACCTGCTGTGTTTTAGAGAGATCAGGAGCTGTGTATGTAAGTCAGGAGAAAGTTTTAACATCCATATTTAAATGTCTCACATCGCTGAGTGGTTTCTGAGTGGTTTCTGAGAAGCTGGTTTCCTTCTTAAGGGGTGAGACCATAGTTGCTTGGGAAGTTCCCTTCATTGGGAGACCCCTTCAGGGATGTCCGCTGGAAGCGGGTGGCAAGATAAGATGAGCAGAGAGACCCCAGGCCCAGCCCATCTGCTCAGGAGAGGCCGGAACCTCCTTGACTTTATTTGGGATTCTTCCCGTTTACCTGTTTTCAGTTCTGAATGAACAATCTTAAATACTAAGGAAACATGTCATTTACTGCATTCTCCTCATCGTCATGTTGTTTTTATTAAAGATCACAGCCTGCTCACCACACTTTCTCCCAGGCCGGTTCATTTCGTGGCTTTCTGTCTGACCCACCCGGGGCTGGCCGGTCCAGCCGGCCAGTGACACTGCTGTCCAGAATGAACCCAGCTGTGTGCTCTGATGCTTGGGTGAAGCCTTTGACGAAAACGAGCAGCTGACCTCCCGGGGCTGGCTTTATCTCGTCTGCAAAGCTCAGTGACTTGGAGACACACCTTGAAATATTTTGGACAAAGGAGGTGCTTTTTGGGCGGATGATCTAGGATAAAAGGCCATAAATAGAACGTGTTCACGTCCTTGGGCCATGTAAGATGGTGTTTTCTTCTTGGGAATAAACATGGCCTCTTCCCTCAGGTGATAGCAGCTGCCAAGGAAGGCTTCACGGCGGTGGGCTACGAGCTCAACCCCTGGCTGGTCTGGTTCTCCCGGTACCGCGCGTGGCGAGAGGGTGTGCAGGCCTCGGCCAGGTTTCACATCTCAGATTTGTGGAAGGTACGTGAGGAGTCCTGGAAAACTTTATAATTCATGATAATCATGAGTGAACATTGAAACGTGTATTAAAATAAAAACGGTTAAAACGCACCTGACTGTGAGCACCTTTGAAGTGGGGGGTTTAAACACCCACTCTTGGGGGCAGAAGCGTAGGGTTTGGGGCAGGATAGGTCAGGTGAAGCCCGAAGATTTATTTGCTCAATCGAAACAGTTCTCATTTCCACCTATTTTGAAATGATGAGATTTATCTCATTTGGGAATCTTATAAACTGTGATTTAGGATTCACTTATTAATGTCATTTTAGGTAAATAGCAGACTTTTCAGTGGGTGGGTGTGTGTATTTTGAGAAAAATGGAGAAGGGCGTGAGAGGAGAGAGCCCATCAGCCCAGCTGCCGTGACCCTCTCTGTTCTTCATAAAGTACGTGATGCCTCCAGGTCCACCTTACAGGCTCACCTCGGAGACTCTGCGGTCGGTTCCAGACCCCGCAGTAAATCTAATGTAGTCATAAAGAGAGACACATGAATTTCCTGTTAGCCCGTGCATACAGAAGCTATGTTTACACACTCATAGAGTGTGTAAAAAAAAAGTGTGTGGAAAAAAAAAGCAATGTATGCATCTGAATTAAAATTTTTTTTATTGCAAAAATGGTAACTCATGGAACTTTTGGAAAAACGGTGGCAGTGGGCTGGCTGAACACAAGGTGGTCACAGAACTTCAATCCGTAGGTAGCACGAACTCTGCAAAGCGCAATAAACCCAAAGGCAATAAAACGAGGTGTGCCTGTCTGCTAAAGAACGGCCTGTGATTCTGTCTCAGGAATCCTCCATAAATGCCTTTCCTTAAATAAGAACTTACACCGTAACGTTGTCATCAGTAGCTCGTAAACACTCACTTGAGTTTTGCAGCATTGTTTTTTTATATCATATGTGCATAAACGATCTCTCTCCAGAGTAAATAAGACTTTTATTGGGCAATAAGAATTTTGACTGGCAAAGCACTTCCCCAGTTTCTTCAACTAAAGACCGTTTCATTGCATTTTTTACTTAGTACTTTAGAGAAGAGGAGGGGCTAGAATGTTAAGGTTATCTCCACATAAACACAAGGTGTCCCTGGCCTCCTGGCACTTGGTGAGCGGTGGAGTTGAGCAGGGACGTGTGCAGCAGGGGCCAGGTGGCCCAGTGTCACCTGGCTCGGCCACCACCTGGTCAGTCCCTGGCCTTTCTGACAGATGACCGTGACTGGGGAGATGGGGAGGCGGTGGGGTCCTGCGTGGAGTTGCCCTGGGACGGGGTCCTCACTGGGCAGCATTTGGAAAACCAATGCATTGAATTAGCAGGAGTGGAAGGTGTGAGCTGATCACCTCTTCCTGATGAAACAGCAAAGGGCGTGTCTTTGTGAAAACCCGCTATTTGAGGAGATGGAAAATTGCTACTCGTTTTGAAACAAAAGTTAAGCTTAATGTTTGGCTTTTAAAAATCAATGTCTGAGGGCCTCCCTGGCGGCACAGGGGTAAAAGTCTCAGTGCTATCAAGCTATCGCCAGCCACTGCAGCATGAGTTCAATCCCGGCCACAGGCCAAACTGTGGCTACCCACATGGTGCAGCAGACCTCTCCTGACTTGCCTGCTGCTCCCCCCAGCAGTGTATTTCAGTAGATCGGCCTGTTCTGCTCCCCACTCTGTCTCTGGTGAATCCTCTCACTCCCCATACCTCTGGTCTGCACCCCACTTTTTTTTTTTTTTTTTTTTTTTTTTTTTTTTTAAAGATTTATTTATTTATTTATACAAGCACTGAGTACAGTCAGAAGCGCGGGAGGGTGAGAGGATTCACCAGCGCCAGAGCAGGGAGCAGAGCAGGCAGAAGGACCGAAGTACACAGCTGAGGGGAGCAGCGGGTGGCAGGAGAGGTCTGCGCGCCATGTGGGACCCTCCTCCAGTGGCCGGGGAGCAGCCGGGGATCAAACCGGTGCTACAGAGGCTGCGGGCAGCTTCTCAACCCAGCGCTCAACCGCTGCGCCACCGGGGAGGCCCTGCACCCCAGTTTTTGTATGCATAAATAAATCAATCTTTTTTTAAAAAAATTAATGCCCGAACCCCTCTTGCCTGCTTCTCCTAGGTGACTTTTTCTCAGTACTCGAACGTCGTTGTCTTTGGGGTGCCTCAGATGGTGAGTACCGCCAGTGCCCGGCCCTGGGGTGTTGATTCAGGCTCTGCGCAGCCCCCCACAGCAGGTGGCTTCCCAGAGCCCCCAGATGCTGGGCCTCAGCGCATCGGTTTAATCAAGGACATCAGGGCCTTAAACATCGAATGAGGAAAAAATCAATCATAGTTTTTAAACGTCTGCTTCCAATAAAATCCTCAGTTGTCCACCCAAGCCAACAAATTCCAGTCTGAAACCGCTTTATGAGCTCCTGGTGGCTTGGGTCATGTGAGGCTTCCGCTCCTCCTGACATCCAGCCGGAATCCCTGGGGAGGGGCCTTCCCTCCACCGTGCAGGGCGGGTGAGGTCCGCTGGCCTCAGCTGGCCTCTGTTGACTGGCCTCTGCTGGACTTTGTGCAGTCTCGAAAGTGAGGATGCTGCGAAAGTGAAGAGGGTCCTAGTCCAGCATTTGGAAAGATGGCGGGAGCGAGAGGCTGTCGTTGGTTGTTGCTTTGCAGACTGTAGCGGGAACCCCCCCTCATTTTTCAGTCTATAACTGTAGCCTTCATAATCTTGCTGAGATTGGATGTTTGCTGAAAAACTGCTATATACATGACAGAGTGGGTTTTTATTATTTTTTTAATATATTTTTTGCAATGATTTTCTTTTTTAAAGATTTATTTATACAAGCACTGGGGTACAGGCCATAGGCGCGGGAGGGTGAGGGAATCACCAGAGAGAAAGTGGGGAGCAGAACAGGCAGCCTGACTGAAACACACTGCTGAGGGAAAGAGTGGGCGAGACAGGAGAGGTCTGTCGCGCCGTGTGGGAATCTCTCTGGCTGGGCGGGAATCGAACCGGCACCGCAGAGGCCGCAGACAGCTTCACGGCGCTGCGCTCAACCAGCTGTGCCACTGGGGAGGCCCCAGTGACATAATGTTTAATTTAAAAAAAAAAAAAAGGAAATTTGCTTTTTGGTTATTTTCTATTCGCACTTTAATTTTTATATAGGATGTTTCAGCGCTTGCTTGAGAAATTTTTTTAGTGTTAGGACCTTCAGTAAAATGCCATTTTCTTTTCTTTTCAAGTCGATGGAGTAGGAATGCTTTTGTTAGCCATGAAAGTGACAGGATTCTCTATGCTTGCGGTTAATTCTCAGTAAGCCCGAAATTAGGATGAATTCTGGGTGTCTCCACTTTGATTATAGAACCGAGAGGAGGTAGAAGGGCCTGATTGCTGGCCCTTCAAAGGAACTAGCTGGGATCACAGGCTTGCCAGGGAATTTGGTGTTTATTTACCACTTATGCTTGGGCCTTTCTGTGTTTAATTTGAAATATTTTTTCAAGCTGGCGAAACAACAAGAATAATTCTTAGACTCTGTGAGGAATATGCTGGTGGCCCTAGGGGAGGGGAGGGTGGGGAGGGGGCGGGCAGCCCGGGGTGCTGGGAGAGGGGAGGCGGCTGCAGAGGGAGGGCAGGTGGTGGGGCTTGGTGGAGGGTGTGAGGCAGCTGCACACAGGAAGGGGTGAAGTTGTACTCCCCAGATTTTCTAGTTATGCCAATGACTGGCAAATCAAAATTTGAGGGGGAAGAAAAGCATTTGTTTTAATGTTAATTTGAAGTGTTAATTTGATGTTTAATTTGAAATCCATGCCCTGTAAAGACAATAGGGTTGCCGAGCTGTCTGGAGAGGTGGGATAAGCCCAGGATCTGGCGGCCCAGCAGCTCGGGGCCAGCAGGGGGCAGCAGTGGCCTTTGGCGGTGCCTTGTTGGCGGGATCGCTGGGGTCCAGCGCCAGAGCTGCTCAGCTTTTGAGTGTGGTCCCTTTGGGAGCTGTTCACTCAGCAGCGAGAGTCCAGCTATTCTGATGAGCGCTTGTGCTGTTGTTTCTACATCTGAAATAAGGAACGTGTAGCCTTTCCCCATTCCCAAGAAAGAGGACAGCCGGAGCACCTACATTCCTGGGTCAGCGGAGCGGTGTGAGCACAACCGCCTCCCCATGTCACCTTCCAGAGCCCTGGTCCGTGTGGACCGGCACAGCCCACGCAGCACAGACATTGCCTGGCAACCCCAGGACAGAGAGGTCTCGAGGTCCTGGAGGGATGCTTAGGAAGGGAAGGTCAGGTCAGAACTAGACCTGCTGTTACAAGTCCTCATAGGGGGATCACTCTTGAGATCAGGGGTGCTTCCATATGTGTGTCTCATGCCCAGGCTCCTGGACGCCCCTTTGGACCTGCTGGTCCAGTTCTGGGCGGTGTTCCAGAACCGGAGCCGCATTCCGGAACTTGCAGCAGCAGTGTCTGCAGGCGGAGCTGTCTGTGACTGCCGGCTACTCTGGGCTGAGGCTGAGGCCAGGCCCTTGGCTAGGTGTGGCCACCGTGGGGCCCTGACCTCTCACTTCAGAGCTCCGGGAAACGAGGGACCCCACAAAGGACTCAGGAGTAGGGGCCTGGGGAGGAGGGCAGCTGGCGGTGGGGGCAGGAGCAGAGGGGGAGTAGGGCCAAGAGGGGCAAGCTGAGGGGAGGGGTTGGTCACCCTCAAAGCTAACGTCTGGGGAGGCGGGAGGGATGGAGTGACCCGCTGGGGTGGACAGGGCTACTTTGTCTTATGCCTTGGAGCTTGTTTCAACTTCGGTTTAAAGTTTTGAAGAAGTAATTAGAATGTGACGAGTCGCTGTCACTTTGAAACCTGTGATCGTGGAAGCTCTTTGAATTCTATCAGAGCCGGGCGGCTGCCACTTCCCCTGGGGTGGCAGCGAGGCGCGGCCTCGGCGCGTGTTTATGTATAATTCAGTCTGTTAATTTCTCATGATTGCAATAGCGCCTTTCCTTCTTAGGGTTATCTCGGCTTAGCATATGCCAGTCATCTGGAAAGAAGAGAAACGGTGAAAGAGCAGAATAATAGCAATAGGAGCAGAGTTACAATTATCCTTTCTACGCAAAATCACTGGAGGAGACCTCTGATATTTTTGAAAAACACATCGTCTCATTCTTGGCTTATTTAATTTTTCCCTCAAGGAACAAAACTTTCCCTTCCTCCCTCCAACCTCCCTCCCTCTTGCTTCCTCTCACTTTCACGAGCTGCTGGAGAACAGGTATCTTCCACCCTTAATGGGATCTGTTGTTATCTTGCTGTGGAATTGGCTCACTGTAGCCTGGGGTTGTGCAGAGGAGTTTTTCCAAGCACTTTTTAAAGATACAGGTTAGGGATGTGTCTCCACAGAAGCACTATTGATTTGATATTTTGATTGAAAGGGAGTCGTTTCTGCTTGGGTCTTGGTTTCTGAATAGCACTTCCCAGCGGGAGGGCCAGGGATGTTGCAGCTTGGCTGCTCAGGGCCCGAAGGGAAGGCACTGAAGGAAGGTCTGGAGCCGGATGTGTGGCTCAGAGTATGGGAGGGGCTCGTCCTGGGGTGCGTGGGGAGGCTGCCAGCTTGAGGAGGCCAAACTGTGGTCTTCTGAGCTTCCGAATGGACAGGGCAGGCCTGGATTATAATGCGGTGAGGGAAGAATTGTCTGTGCGCTCATGCCCAGGGTGACGGCTAGGCAGATGGAGGAGAGAGGGCAGCTCTTCCCCACAGGAACCATGGGGTTAGCTTTGATCTCTTTGCTGCAGGGATGGAAAGACCTTCCTGGGCCAAGTCATCGGTAGTGCTCCCCGCAGTGGAGGGACCCCAGGCCTGATGAGCGACAGGGTGTGCCCACTGTGCACAGTGCCCCCCCATGACCAACTTGTTAGAAAGGGACAGCAGTAACCGCAGGGTGGAGATGCGAGATACCCCTGTGTCCCAGCCTTAGCATCCCCTTCGAGGTGGGACTCCGGGGCCTCCGCCTGGGGACCCCAGAAGGTCACAGCCCCCTGGCGGGTGTTGCTGAAGATGCTCACGCCAAGTGTCCAGGTGCAGATGCCAGCGAACTGTGGCCTGTCCACTGGAGATCACTGGCCTGTCTGCTCAAAGGGCGCTAAGTGACAAGGAAGGTCGGGAACAGCCAGTAAGGAGAGCAGGGAAACGTCACAACCAAATGCACTGGATTCCGTCTTCATCCCAGGGAGACCATCAAGGACATTATCAGGCCGTTTGACAAAACTAGAATTCCTTGGGCTTTTGAATACTGGAATGTTAAATTTCCTGTATTTCATAAAGGTGCAGGGGTCAGTTCTTAGTAGAAAATGCACTTGTAGAAAATACTTGCTCAGAAAACATGGGCATATCCAAGGCAGAGGGGCATGGCGGGCATCCTGGCCTTGGATGGCTTAGAAAAATGTTCACTGGAGGGAAATTAGGGTCCAGTGATGATGATAGGCTTAAAAATTGGTGAGCCTGGGCCTCCCTGGTGGTGCAGTAGGTGAGCATAGCACTGTGAAACCATCCGCAGCCTCTGCAGCATAGGTTCGATTCCCAGCTGGCCAGGGAGATACCCACATGGCGCGGAAACCTCTCCTGTCTCCCTACTGCTCCCTTCAGCAGTGTATTTCAGTCAGCCTGCCTGTTCTGTTCCCCGCTCTGTCTGGTGAATTCTCTCACCCTCCCGTCCCTCTGGCCTTTACCTGAGCTCTTGTACAAATAAATAAATCTTTAAAAAAAAATTGGCGAGCCTGGCTAAGGGTTAGGAGCGTTCTCTGTTGTATTGCAACTTTCTTGTAAGTTTGAAACGATTTCAAAATAACATATAGAAAGAAGAAAGTGGGGCAGCTGTATTTAGCTAGTGAAGGTAGCAAAATATTTTTAGGACCTGGAGATACATTTTTAAGCAGTTTAAATTTTCTGATGGAATTATAATGTGAATATTTTTAGCAAACAATGAAACTTTCTTCATAGATTGGCATTAAAAGGATACAAAAGTGGTAAGAGAACTGTTCCAATATTTTTAAAAGATTTTATTTATTGGGCCTCCCCGGTGGCGCAGGTGGTTGAGTGCAGCGCTGTGAAGCTGTCCGCAGCCTCTGCAGAGCCTGTTTGATCCTGGCTGGCTGGCGAGGGTCCCACATGGCGTGGTGGACCTCTCCTGTCATGCCCGCTGCTCCCCTCAGCAGTCTATTTTGTCTGTCTGCCTGTTCTGTTCCCTGCTCTGTCTCTGGTGAATCCTCTCACCCTCCTGCACATCTGGTCTGTACCCTGGTTCTTGTATAAATAAATAAATCTTAAAAAAAAAGATTTTATTTATTTATGCATACAAGAATTGGGGTGTAGGCCAGAGGTGCAGGGGTGAGAGGATTCATTGAAGACAGAGTGGGGAGCAGAACAGGTGGATCTACTGAAATACACTGCTGAGGGGAGCAGTGGGCAAGACAGGAGAGGTCTGCTGCGCCAGGTGGGTCAGCTCCCTGGCTGGGGATTGAACTCAGGCTGCAGTGGCTGCGGGTAGCTTGATAGTGCTGAGACTTCAGCCTGTGTGTCACCAGGGAGGCCTGAGAACTATACTTTTTAAAAAGTGATATAGACTATCAAGAAATCATTTTCTGTATATCATGGATATATTTTTTTAAAAGTCTGGCTAATTTCACTGTATTTCAAGGGGGTAAAATGTGCCTATTTTTTCATTGTCTAATTACATCGTATTTCCTTAACACTAGATGTTACTGGTTTAGACAGACCATTGCTATTGATAGGAAAAATCTATGGCTGATTACAAGTATAAGACAATGTCAATAGTAGGATTTCAGAGAATCTAAAATGTGGAAAATATGTGTTAAATGGGTGAGACAGTAGATTGAAATGTTTAGGTTGGTAAATAACTTGAAGTTGCTTCTCGTTTTCATTATCGCCACATGATGGTTTTAGTTAGACAGCCAGAAAGCCGGGAGGCACATCTGCTGAAAAGGGCCTGGTTTATAATTGATCTGAGAAGATGTTCTTGTCACTGTCCTTAGAGTGACTTCTATGGTTCCGTGGGTTACTGGGTAATGCACTTAGGCTCTGGAATCATCATTTTTACAAGGTAATTTTTGCACAGGTGTTTTTAGGGACCGAGATACAGAGGATGGGGGGGGGTCATTTCCCCTTACCAAACAATGACCGTCCTTCCCCACAGATGCCGCAGTTGGCCAAGAAGCTTGAACTTGAACTTGAGGATGGTGCCAGAGTCATCGCTTGCCGGTTCCCGTTTCCGAACTGGGCCCCTGACCAGGTCACGGGTGAGGGCATCGACACCGTGTGGGCCTACGACATGGGGACTCTCAGAGGGAGCAGCCAGGGCCCCCGAGCATCTGCGCCTGGACAGCTGGTCACGCAGATATAAGTGTCGCTGAGAGTGTTTCCCTGAAATGCTGGTGGTCTTTGCTTTTATAGACTCACAGCCGTGTCTTCAGCAAGAGAGTCTTTCTTTGGTACAGATCGAGGAATTATTACTTTCCTTAACTTCTGGAGAAAACAAGCTATGAACAGCCAGTGGATTTAAAGTCCCATTTCAGGGTATATTCCTAAATCTGTGCTGCTTTCATGTGTGTAAGACGTAGCCAGTGAGGGCCGTGTGGACGGACTGGAAGGCGTCAGCAGCTGTTCACGTCGTGGAGACCGTGATGCGGTGCCAGAGATGAGAATTAAACATTGTTAAAGAGGGTGTGTGTCAGCGATGTCGACAGCGTCCTCTGGCTTTATTCAGTCTTAAGGTTTGTCTCTTTTCTGTATTTCATGACAAATATTCTAAAGGACTCACAGAGACATTCATATTTTATAAAATTTATTAGGAATCATTGGTTCCAAAGTTAACTGGCGTCTATTATTGAATCCATGCTGTGAGTCCAAGGGCATGTGCATACATACTTTAACATTTCTGAATTTCTAAAAATCACTTGCTATTGTGGTAACACTGGTTTACAACACTGTACAAGTTCCAGGTGTACAGCTGCACATCTTGACACCTGTATATGCACATCACACCTGCCACCAAAGGTCTGGTTGCCACCCACCGCCATGTACACCAGGCCCCGGTCTTGAGGAGTTTGTTTATTGTTAAAAGATTTTTATTTATTTATGCACACAAGAACTGGGGTGTAGGCTAGGGGTGCAGGAAATGAGAGGATTCACCAGACGCAGAGTGGGGAGCAGAATAGGCGGATCTACTGAAATACACTGTGGAGGGGAACAGCGGGGAGACAGGAGAGGTCTGCTGTGCCAGGTGGGTCAGCTCCCTGGCTGGCTGGGGACTGAACTCATGCTGCAGTGGCTGCCAGGCCTCAGGACCTCAAGATTTTTAAAACAGCTGGAAAGCGTCCTATTGGTGTCCCCTAGGGCTGGATGCCCTCCCTGCAGAGGGCGTTCTCTCTCACTTCACATTGGAGAAACGTACACCTGGAGGGGCTGGCTGCTTAGCGCCACTTCCCTGGCTGCTTAGCGCCACTTCCCTCCCTGCTGCAGCTTCCAGTTTTACCCTCTGAGTTCAAAGCTCTTGCAGGAAAAATCTCCTATGAACCAACAAAGCTTCCCGGCTATTCTGAGTTGGGTCCTCTGTGCACCGGGGCAGGCGCTGTGGAGTGACAGCCAGTGTTGCAGCAAAGTGGACTGTCCTCAGGTGCAAAAACAAGGACAGGTGCTTCCAATTATACAAGGAAGGGCATTCGGGTGCTCACAGGTGCACGTGTGTGTGCTCACCAACACACTCACTCTCCGCCAGAATCTCTGAGTCTATGAATTGAGAGAACTGGTAATAGCTTCCGCGGCTGAGGACGGCGGGAGAGGGCGGGATGAGAGCGGGCGAGAGGGAGGCATCTTGCATTGTGTATTTTAAGATATATTTTGCATTTTTTTACCATACATATGACTTTCCAATGAAAAGTTCATTTTTAAAGTTCTCAAGTGCATATGAGATGCCACTTTTGCGAGCACATCTGGGGAGAGACTACTCAGCGATGTCTCAGCCCCGGCATGTGCTGAGCTGCTGGGATGGTGGCTGTGGCCTCCGGGAGGCCGGCGGGGCTGGGGGGCACCATGGGGCAGAGCGTCAGCCTGCAGAGCGAAGCTGTCGTGGAGACACTGAGCGTGTCCGTGGCTTATCTGGGGTACATGTCAGTCATTGTGATTTTTTCTTATCTCCTGTAATCCCCCTGTTCCCTGATAGGTCTTTATTATGAAACAGAAATAGAGACACAGTGACTTGAGGGATTCAGGTCAGCAGCTTAGAGAACCCAGAGGTTAGAGGCCCTTGAAGACAGGAGGCGCTGGACTGTGTGGAGAGGGGAGATCAGGGCTGTGGACGCGCCCTCCGGCTGTCCTGCACCAGGCTGCCTGAGTTCTCACCTACCTTGGTTGAAAGAAATAACCACAAGCCTTGGATGAGATGGAGCTCTGAGATGGGCTCCCTGCCCCCATTCCAGAACCCCCAAGCCCTACCTGTTTAGCTCTACTGGTGACACCCCATGGAGACGGTCCCTCTTTCAGTTCATGCTCAGTCTCCCTGCTCCTAGCTGGTGCTTCTTGACTGCAGGGCACAGAGACAGCAGTGCCGCCTCCCATGGGTGGGGCTCCCACGGTGTCTCCAGCTGGAGGACAGTGCCTGTACCCTGAGGCAGTCCGGGCACAGTTGCTGAATAAATGGGCAAAGGAAGGGTGTGGAAGAGGTGGCCCTGAGTCCTGCTGCAGTCCAGCTGCACTGCGACTTCCCTTTTATTCCAGCTGTGCCAGTGGTGTTGGCTCTAGAGAAAAAGAAAACTCAAGGGCCTCCCTGGGGGCGCAGCGGGTTGAGCGCAGCGCTGTGAAGCTGTCCGCAGCCTCTGCAGCACGGGTTCGATTCCCAGCCAGCCAGGGAGATTCCCACAGGGCGCAGCAGACCTCTCCTGTCTCCCCGCGGCTCCCCTCAGCAGTGTGTTTCGTCAGTCTGCCTGTTCTGCTCCCCACTCTGTCTCTGGTGAATCCTCTTACCCTCCTGCATGTCTGGCCTGTACCCCAGCTCTTGTATAAAAATAAATAAATCTTAAAAGAAAAGAAAACTCATAAAAAAGTAAAAAAGAAACATGGCTACATTTTGCCACCTACTCTGCTTTTTAAAAACATTCATTCACTTTATGACTATAAAGTTCTTATAGTGCAGGTTTCCCCTGAGTAAATGACTCTACTTTTGGAATTTTTAATGAAAAAGTTTCCTCTTAGTGTAATCACTAATGGAGAGAACATTTTTCTTTACAATTCCCCCCCCTTTTTTTTGTGGGACCCTCGCCGGTGGCCAGGGATCGAACCGGCACTGCAGAGGCTGCGGGCAGCCTCGCAACCCAGCGCTCAACCGCTGCACCACCAGGGGAGGCCCTACAATTCCCCATTTTTAATGTCAGTTATAATAGTGATAGTAGTGGGTCCTGAATACAAAACGATGAATCTCGCATTTGCCAGGTATTTTTGCTTTAATTTACAATTTGCACATTATTTTCCGTCTAGCAGTTGCTTTTCCCACCCAGGTGGGCTGAGCTAACTTCTTCCTCCACGTCCAACTTCCTTTGCAGCCCCGTCTCTCTTGCCTCTGGACCTCGCAGTCTGCGTGCTCTTTCTGTCCTAATGGGGTCTTGGGCCTTTTCCTTCTGCATTTAAATTTTCTGAATATAATTTTGATTGCAAAACTCACGCCCTAATGAAGCCCCTGGTCTTTCTGTTTTGTTCACGTTGAATGCGGCATCATCTTGTTTATGTTTTCCTTTGTAGCCTATCTGCTGATACTGCATTGCTTTTGTCTCCGGTAAATGAAAGGAAACACTTCCCCCACTTAGCAGTTAGCAAAGGGAAGGAAGAAGCCCAGCGCTCAGCACTTCTGGGTGACATAAGAAGTGATGGATTTACACTGTCTGGCTTTCCCGCTTGGTCCATGTGTCTGCATTTTGTATCTTCAGTAGTTTGGTGATTATTCGTTTAGGCTTTTATTTGATGCTTTTTAAGACATGAATTTTGATCCTATTGAGAGAGTTTCCATTTAAACAGAAGGTTCTAATTTTTTTTTTTCAGGCTTGAAGAATCACTTTGCTATAGAACACAAGGGATTATGTTTAGATTGATAAGAACAAACAAGTTTTTCAAATTATCCACATGACTATTGGTCAGATCCTGCGAACTGCTCACAAACATGATAATAATTCAGACCAATTATGACGAATTCTTTCCTAGGAGCAAATGAACTATTGCTGGAATTAAAACAAGAAAGAGGATTTCAGTGCTCAATTTATATATGGAGGGAAATCAAGGACGATGATTTGCTATTTACAATTTTTTCCCCTACAGCAGGAGAAGTTTCAAAGTGGCTTTGATATATTTTTCTTTTCATTTTCAACCCTTTGTTGAGAAAAACCAATATTCTGGTCTAAGCAAATGGAAATATTTTCCAAGCATAGGCTGATAATGATAACACATATAAATACTATGCAGAAATGTTTTAATCTGATGTCTTAGGATGTTAACAGTAGAGGGCGGAAGCTCTACACTTAAAAAAGTGAGGTGTAATTTACACACGGAGACATTCACCCTTCTCCGTTTACAGGGCTGTGAATCTGGACAAATGATATAGTCCTGCCACATGTTAAGACACAGGATTATCTCATCACCCACAAAATTCCCTGGAGTCCCTTTGTGTCAGCCCCTCTCCCCTCTCCAACTCTCTAGTAAGTGCTGATCTATTTTCTGTCCCACAGTTTTGCCTTTTCCAGATGTCATATAGCGGGGGTCACATAGGTGTCACTTTCTGAGTCCAGCATGGTGCATGGACATTTATCCAGGGGACACGTGCTGATCACTTCTTGCTGGGGTCCATGGACACCTGTCCCCGGCTGTTTACCATTTACCAGTGAAAAGCATTTGGATTTCCCCCAGTTCTTGATGATTATGAACAAAGCCACAATAAACCTCTGCCTGTAGGCTTGCTTTCTGGGGACATTTTTGTGGAAGTTGGGTAAATCCCCAGGAGCAGGGCTGCTGGCTTGTGTTGTGATGAAGAAAAAAGTTGGAGAACTCACACTTCCCAATTTCAAAACTTTCTACAAAGCGACAGCAACCAAGACTGTAAGGCACTGGCATAAGAACAGACTTCCAGATCAAAAAAATGAAATTGAGAACCCAGAAAGGAAATCATACATTTATTAAGTTTTGACAAGGGCGCCATGACAGTTCAGTGGACAAAGAATAGTTTGTAATGCATGGTGCTGGGACAGCTGGGTATCCACATACAGAAGAATAAAGCCACCCCCTACCTCACACCATTCACAGAAATTAACCGTTAATGGATCAGAGAGCAGAGTGGAAAAGAAGACTAAAAGAACTAAAACCAGAATTTAAAAAATTGAATTAACACTTATATATGCTTCAGGAGCGAGTCATGGAGAATCACATGTGTGTAGACGCCATTAAATGCACCACCAGAATTCAGTTCTGTCCTTCACCATACACTCGATCCCACTTCCCAACTCACCCACCCTCCTTTCTCCTTCCTTTCGGGAAGCTAGCAGTTTGTTTTATTTATATATAGGCTGAACATTCATTTTAGTTCCTTCATTTGTTTGGCTCATTTATATATACCACCTATGACTGACATCATCGGGTGTTTGTCTTTCTCCATTTGACTTATTTCACTTAATGTCCCCTGTAGGATCCATCCATATTATGGCAAATGTCAGGATTTTATCTTTTCTTCCAGCTGAGTAGAACCCCCTTGTGTATATATACACCCCAGTCATTTGTCGAGAGGCACTTGGGCTGTTTCCAGCTCTTGGCTGTTGTAAATAATGCTGCAATCAACACAGGCATGCACCCATCTCTTTGAATTAGTGTTTCTGTACTTTTTAGGTAAATACCCTGAAGCTGGATAATAGTTTGCTTATTTAAATATGTTTAGAAATAACTCATCTCCCAAGTGAATCATTAAAAAATCGGATCCATCAATAATTGACTAGTTGCAAAATTTACAGCTCGGGCAGACCAAGGAGTTATGTTTGATGGGCTCAATTCTCTTTTAACTGATTAAAGCCATTAATTGAACAAACCCATTCATTCAGCAGACATTTATTGCCCATCTATTATGTGTTAGATTTGGAAGAGAAATTTTGACATGGGGATAACATTCTAATTTGCTGCTGCTACGGAGACTTTACTTGCAATGTACTTAATCAGTTGTGAGAGTGGAGGTATCT